GATATGGGGTTAAGGTCCAGGGGTTAAGGGCTTGGGGGTTTTCCTTGTCAGCTTTAGGGCACAACGTTTAAGGTTGTTGCTCAGGGATCGTGACTCCAAAGCCTCGCGGTGGTTCGGTTGTGGGTGTACGGTTTGGTGTGTAAAACAGGGCGCACGGTGTTCCTTTATAAACTGAGGCTCACAACCTACGGTTGTTCCTTGCTTCCCCTCAACTTCCGCACCAACTGGTCACAAACCAGCACCCCAAAACAAAGGGTTGGTGTTTTTTTCAGAGGGGGGGGAGGATTGGTGGAAGCTCAGACGGCTCCCGCCACTTTGAGGTTTTCGGTTGAGGAGCTTTTCGGTTTCCCTATGTTCCTATGAAGGTACCAAGGATTCCTTGTGCCCAATTGGCTTGAAGGCTTACTCGCATCTCCCAGACGATTCGGAGCGGCTGCAAGCCATCCGCAAGACTGAACCGCAAAAACGGAACACCAAGCAGGGTCCTGAATCGTGTGTTGACGCATTCTGTTAGTTCACCTTCATCTGGGTCACCAGACCATGGGAACATGACTTTCAACATCCAAATCAAGCACCCAAACCAAGTGCCGAGGATTATTCAATCGGCCTCCTCCTAAGTAGTTCTTCATGGGAGGGCTTCCTTCAAAGACTCACCCAATGGCAGAGGTTGTGCGCCTAGAATTTAGAGTAAACCCAGACAACAGGGCTAATCGTGAAAATTCGTTGCAGCGCCAAGTTTCGCCGGCAGCTTCGTTGAAACCTCGCTTTTTGCAAATGTGAGGCAACCCGTGCTCAGACACTCACAAGACAAGATCAGATTCCGCAACTTGCGGGAACAAGCTTCACCAAGTTGTTGCCTTGATATGGCATGCCATAGACATGTGTTCCCACACCTAACGATCACAGACCCTCAGAGGAAGTGGTAGACGAGATCAAAAAATGCAAGCACTGTCAATAGTTCCGCTTCCATGCCGCAAGAAACCATCAAAAGGAGACGAAACAACCCCTAGCACCCAGCATCGAAGGCCTTCTTTCCTCTTTCCGAGACCAGCCACTCAACAGCTTCCCATCCAGGTCCAGATCGAAAATTGGCACTCTCGCCAGCTGCAAGAGCTTGGCCAGATCATCGGAGCTCCTCATTGCTCAGACTGCCTGGCTGGCACTGACATTTCTTGGGCTTAGAGCACTTTCCTAGGGCTCAGAGCTAGGAATGAGGGCACACATCAAAACCGAGCAAGCCCTCAGGCTCCGAAGCCCTCATTGCGCAAGGCATCACAAGGCATCACACCTGAGCACTTATTCCCAAACCTCTGAAAGCCCCAAATTCAGATCATGTAAACAAGTTCGGTCGAATGCCGCGTTTCGCATTCCGCTTGGAAATGTCAATGTGCGGGGAAGTGTGCTTGAAAGGCTTGCTGCACTTGGCAGGCAGACACCCAGCTCCAATGGCATCTTGTAGTAAGATCTGTCCCAGAAGCCCTGGAGCGAGTCATCATGAAGTGGAAAAAGCAAGAAGCATCTAATGTTTCTGAGAATATGTGTGGCGTTGGTGACGCATGTCCATTGGCAACTCTGCACCCCACATGGACAATCCTGACCCCTACTCCCAGAATCCAGAGTCCAAATCCACCTAACCCTTGAACCATGGCAACGAATCAGGGCCTAATCCCTGAAAAGTCAAATCCCGAAGCGCCAGGCTGGCGCCTGGCCCATCACACGGGAATGTGGCCTCGCTTCGGGGCTTCTGGCATTCCGGACTTCGTATTAGAGAAAGGGTTTTAGAGCGCGAAACCCTCAAGGCACACCCAAAGTCAGACATGAGCTCACGTCTCTCGGTCTGCTGTCTAAGATCCTATCATCGCCACTATGGTTTTCAGTCATGTCAGCATCCCCATTCTTATCGCGCTGAACACGCTGGCTCGTCAACTTTGCCGACACGGGTGTAGAAACTGCTAGCATTATATAGACACCTAACTGAGGTATCGTCGATTGCAAGAATCCCCCGGATAGCTCTCAATAGCAGCCACTGGTGCTTCGGTCCAGAAACAAATTCCACATTGACGTCTAGAGTCTAGGGGAATGTTCAGCAACTATAGGGAGTGCTGGTCCTCCTGCAGAGGGTGTCGAGGCAGCCGTTTCTGGAAGTATCGTTGCTATACCATTCCTGTTCATGACCATTAGCTCTTCTTGTCGCCTCCGCCGGGGTAGCATTAGGTGACAAGGCACCTTGCACGTTGCTTCTGCAGGTAAGCACGACTTCGCAATTTTCCACGAGAGCATGGTGCTACTCGCCATGCTCCGCAAGCCCTGTTGTTCGACAATCCAAGACAAAGATACTGGACATGCAAACCTCAGTGACTATCGACGACGAATACTGTGCATAATGGTTCAAAGAACAGTGGCAGTAACAATGATCCCTGACCATGACGACCAACCTGAAGAACAAGATGATGATGATGATGACTACGATGGTGATGATCATGACGATGATGATGATGATGATGCCGAGGATAAGGATCTAGATGAGGAGGATGAGGGTTATGACTATGATGATGACAATGATGACGTCCACAACGGTCCTGATGGTGCTGCGGTGAGGATGACGACACCGGTGCTGGCGATGACGGCCCTAATCAGGATGGCAAGAATGGAGGTCACACCGTCGCCGTCGTCGCCGTCGTAGCATTAGTTGAAATAGCTATGCAGTAGCAGCAGCAGCAGCAGCAGCAGCAGCGGTTGCAATGGCAGTAGCAGTGGCAGTAGGGAGTCGCGAGGCGGGAGTAGGAAGTAGGGCGTAGGGAGTGCGGAGCGGGAGTAGGAGTTGGGGTAGCAGTAGAGGAGTGGGAAAGTAGGACGTCGGAGCAGGAGTGCGAGGAAGAGGAGTAGGAGCGGGAGCAGGAGCAGCTGTTGCAGTGGTAGTGGTTGGTGATGGTGGTGGTAGCAGCAGCAGCAGCAGCAGTAGTAGTAGTAGTAGTAGTAGTAGTAGCACTAGTCGTTCTGATACGCAAACTACACAAGACACGAGCTTGCATGCAGGAGACTGGAAAGTGCTGCACCCGAGGCCGTCGCTCTGTTCGGGGGCCACGGGATCACCCAGGGCCCGAAAAGGAAACGCTACACAGCTGCACGGCGAATGGAAGCTTCGGCGCTTTTGGCACCACAGGCTGCGAGGGTTTAGGGTTTCGGATTCTGTCAGCTGCTTTCTTCGGGATGTCGCTTCTTCAGTGCGTTGCTCTCCGACGTTCGCCGTCGTGTGACTTAGGCGTCTGACTTACCTCTGCGCTAGAGTTTCAGGGTTCCCGCATCATCTCGCTGAAGGTCGGTCTGAGGGGATCGACGCATACCAACGCGTCGGGATGAAGAAATATTGAGGGCTATGTGATCGCTTCACCCTCCTTCCCCGAGCATTCTGAAAGCTAGAGAGACGACTAGGTCGGTGTGCCAACCCGCAGCTGAACAAAGAGCCTGCAGTTTCTCAAATCCTGCACCATGACCCGCACATCGCCCCTAGGTACACACCATCAACACTAGTCTCTAAAGCCGCACAGTCCAAACTCTGCAGGCACCCTTGAAAGCTCTCGAGCAATCACAACCCCTGCGTCGGGCACCTGCACGGGCGTGGGCGTCTTGAAACCCTGGCGAGAGAGGCCTGGCCCTCCCCTTTCCCACCGTGAGAACAGCTGGAAGCAGGGCATTGAGCTTTGAGGGGCGGTTCGGGCCACAAGCATTTGGACACGTTTTGAAGGCAATGTCTGCAAAGGCTTGCGATTATGCAGGGAGGCTTGGAGGGTTAAGGAAGGCATAACAGGACAACCGAAGAGGCATCAGGTCAAGCAGGGCCTTGAGGCAACGTTAGGGAAAATTGTGGGGCGTGAACAGTAGCAGGACGTTGTGAGTGTAGCACAAGGCTCAGACCAACTCAACCTGTCCGAGATCTTTTGGCAAGGCCTCTCAATCTGCACGGCTGTGAATCTGCGAAGCGTATGGGGCGCAGGTGGAAAGCCCGAAACCTGGCAAGACCCTCGGCCTACGAGGATCAGCGGATGTAGCTCGAACTGGCAGGCGCGCGCGAGGAGTGAAGAGACCGGCTGAGAGGCTTGAAAGCACTGAGATTCCAAGGTTCGGTTTAAGGTTCCGACCACTGTGGCCTCAAGCTAATGAGTGCTGTATTGTCAATCGTCATCGTGCTGGCGGTGGTAGTTCCAAATCGTCATAGGAGTCGAGAATCATGTTGAAGAAAGGGGCGCAAGCTGCAAAGAAGATGGTCTGGTTGTACAACATCCCCATCACATGTGTAGAGACGGCTCGCACGAATCTCGAACGACCCTAGTGGTAGCAAAGCCTTGAGGGTGATAGCGGCTCACGTTCGGCGTTGTATCACTTTCTTGGGATGCACGGCATTGGGGCTTGTGTCACTGTGTCACCGCGCACGCCTCTGCCCAAGCGGAGAGCTCCGCCGCAGCGAGATCCTTCCGAGGCATTGTGGCTGCGGTTGAAGTGCTGCGGGATGCTTGCCCTAAACCTCTGTAGCCGAACCACCGAAACGCTCAGAGCAGCCACATGGAAAGGGCTCTTCGGCGGATGGGGAGGAGGTGTACGATTCACGGTCAGCACAAGTCAAAGAACATGGATGTAGCTTTTAACGCAAAACCGTGGGCAGCTTGCTTTCAAGCAAAACCCTGGACTCGAACCCACCATCCTCCTCTTGTGACTGCGTCTTGCTGCGTAGCTCCGCCAGCTCCTCATTGCTTTCTACATTCCGTTTCGGCTGCGGGGGACACCACTGTGTGCATGCTGCTGCTTCAGCCTTCCAGGGAAGGGGGTGATACTTATCTCAAAGCAAGTTGCATCTCTCACATGCGCATGACCCTGTCTTCAAAGGTCTGTAGCCCACAAATTGCACCCAGAACTCGGCCTTTCGCAACTTCTCATTCTCGGCTGTCAGGTCCTGTGCTGGTGTCGACTCAGAAACCGGGTTAGGATGACATTCGAGGATGTGTTCAAGCATCTGCTGCTTCGATGAGGCGCACATGTTCTTGGGTGTCAGGTTCTCGGCACTGCTCGTGGAGCGAGATTTCCTAGAAAGGCCAGGCTTGAGCTGGGGTCGTTTGGTCTTCAAAGCCAAAGGGTTTTAGGGTTTAGGGATATAGTAGGACCTTAATAGTAGCCCTATTATAGACTCTTACTGTATGGGGGCCGTACCTAAGGGTTTGTCTCAACTTTGAAAATACGTATCGTGGCCGCTCTCCTCCCTGCGACAACCAGCAAAGGCAGAACCCGACTGGCACAAGTACAGAGAACACTGCTCCAATAACAACAATAATTTTTAGGAAAAGTGACAGGTAATCACCATGATGGTATGTGATGGCAGCTGTAAAACAGGCCTTAATAATTAGAATAGGGTTTTGCGGCCCATTATACTATAATTCTAATAAGGAAGGTATAGGTAACTATACTAAGGCCCCTATATTTGTCATGATAATGACAGCTTTTCCTACGAAGGCAGGACCAAATTCATTCTGGGGCCTCGGCGGGCGCAGCCGCAGCTTTGCTGGTCTTCTTGAGCCGCCTCCTGATCTGATCCGATCAGACTACTACGACGAATTAGGGTCAGGAAATTGAGGGTCCGGATGTTCGGACTAAGGGTTTAGGGGTCTCAGGGTGCGGGGTTGAGGGTTTGGGTATTGGTCCGAGCCTCTTCACTGCCTGAATGGGTTCCTGCACCGTGGAGTACTCCACTCCGACCTGTGCAGTCGACATGCGCATTGCTACTCTTGAAGAGTAGCCGGACCACGTGAGGAACAGTACGTGAAGCTGAAGCTACGCATGGCTGGCTTGGCTCGTCGCGGTCCTGGTCTGTTCTGTTAGTCTGTGGTATTCGTGCATCGCTCATTACACGCAGATCGTCTTAGGAACGTAAGACAAGGCGACAAAAGAGTCTCGTTGCCTGGTCAGGTTCAGGGTTTAGGGCTCTCTGAGGGTGTTGAGCTGAGGATTTCATGTGTAGGAGTCTTCTGGGTATTGGTGCAGTATGAGATGACAGGGCTTGGTCTTATGAGCGGAATGCATCGGGCGAACGAGGAGGAAGCATGTCGACTCCGCATTTTTTCCACATGACGTGACATGTCGCACACAGATGCTGATGTCACAACTTCGAGTAGTTTGGAAAGGCCGCCGCCACATTTAAACTTCATCCCAATATATCCCAATAACATCACGTCCTAATCTTGAGCCGTGCATGGAAACCCAAGCTTTTTTTGCACTTAGACCTCTCAAGTGTTCTCAAGTGCCGTTGTCGGGTGCCTCATCAGGATCAGCCTCTTCGATGAAAAGGCCCCCTTGCATTTCGAACTCCTCCAGTTTGGGAGCTTCGCCGGAGGATCCCAGCCCGTCTGGGATTAAAGTTTAGGAGTTTTGGGCATGGGAACCAGGGGCAACGTCACCGCGCATAATCGCAAGAAGAGTAGTAGTAATGACAAGATTGATCCTCATTTTTGGTTGAAAAACCCCGAAACCCTAAGGCCCCCACTCCACTCAGCCAACCCTGCGGCCTCAAGGAAAGCCATCTGGTAATGTAAGTACACAAAATATCATAATACAATATCATATAACATAATATGATACAGATATAGATATAGACCGAAGGCCCGACCAAGCACTCCACTCTTCCGCCCCGGAAGTCGATCCTTCATCACATCCAGGTCGAGTTGGACGGTTTTCCAGCCTCTGTGGTATGATCTCGCAGAATGATGTCAGACACTACATGGTAACATGGTACACAGAAGCAGCATGATCCGTAGTGGTCTCCTTTAAAGCAATGATGAAGACGTGTAGAGGCCTAGTCTCAACTACAGCTCCATTCATCTTGAACTTGCTGAAGGGGACTTTGTCCGGGTCCAGGATTGGGAGACTGGGAGATGGTCCTTTTCCTCAGACCCACCGATCCCACCCCAGAAAGCCATCCTCGAAACTTCCAAACCCTCAACCCCAAACCCAAACGGCCCATAAGCTTACCTTTGGTTAGTAGGGAATGGAAGAATGGTAGGAATAGTAGTTAAAACTGTACCCCACTCCTCCATTCCCTACTAACCAAAGGTAAGTAAGCTCTAGGTCACCGTGCCGCTCTTCGAGAAGGCTGGGTTCGACCTCCTCTCCTGGCATCGGAGCGTGCTCTCGTCGGCAAAGAGCAGTTTGGGACTTCACGTGCCCCTTGCACCTGCGGTTTAGGGTTTAGGGCTTAGAGTTTAGGGTTTAGGGCACCTTTGCTGTTTTAGCTGAGGCGTCTTGAGCCTGAACACCGCGGGCCAGCTAGGCGAAACTGCCGCGACCTTCCGCCATATCGAAACGAGGTCAGAAACACATCTCGCTACCTTTCATCCCCGAACACCCCGAGACCTGAAAACATTGGTATTGTAGGGATCTAAAAAATTACCAGTACTATTTTGGGGATTCCGTAATACAAATTATAACATAATGGGCCCCGAAACCCTATTCTAATTATATCCAACGAAACACGAAACCTGTGTAGCGCCATTGGCGCCGCCCTCGCTCGGAGCAGACTCCTGGCTGCGGCCGGGAACCAGAAACAGAGACCTCATGACTCCCCCACCCAGAAAATTCGCGTCTCTGATGTCTAGAATGGTATGGGTTTAGGGTTTTAGGGTTTAGGGTCCATTTGGTTTAGGGTCTATAGGGTTTAGGGCTGGGACCAGCACCATGTGTACCCATTCACCTGATTTATTGCACTGTCGTCACCGGCGAAAAGTATCACTACAAATAGAAAACTGAAATATTTTTACGACAAAGTACCGTAGCTATGTACAGACAAAGATGATCTGAAATGCTTTGTAACTAGTCAAACCTGTACCACAGTACGTATGTGTATGTGCACATGTACAGATACATGTGTATATGCTAGGTATACATACATATATGTATGTATGTATGTATGTATGTACACACATACAAACATGTATCCATGCACGCATAATTATATATATATATATATATATATATATATATGTATATATATATATACATACACACACATATAACACTTATGAACTGGCGTATACATAGATGCATCTATACATTATGTTTATGTGTGTACGTGTATGTTTGTATGTGTATATATATATATATATATATACATACATACATGCATATATATATATATAGGTATATGTATACGTACATGTACATGTACATGTGCAGATGCAGGTGCAGGTATGTATGTATGTAGGTATGGATGTATGTATGACATCATACCCCCATGCTATATCATGCGAGTCAATGTTGCAGTAGACATGTCAGCGTTATCATGCTCCGAGGTTGGCTGGCTACGTGCCAAAGGCCACCCGGACCCGGCCTTCCGTCGTCGCTTCCGCGCCACCATGACCAAGAAGCTTATGGAGTTCCAAAACAGGAGGCGGTCCTCTTCTTAAGGGGTCCTTACGACAGAGGGCTCATTATGTTTAGGGTCTGCAATGCAGGGTTTTCTTATTCTCGGGAAGTAAGTGTGGTGGGACTGACGCCATGGCACTTTGCCACTGATGTCGGCTGCAATCGAGGTGAGAACTGCCTAGGGAGCGTTGGGCACCATGACACAGAAATGCAAGCTGGTGAGAATGCCATCCGAGACAAGTTCACGGCCTGCCATGGTGCCTCTCCACAATGAGCGTATGCTTGACTGCTTCTTCTTAACACGAGTGATATGTTCATGATTTTTTGCGACCCATGGCCCAAAAACAAATAACCAAAATCTTACCGACAACAGAAAACCAGCATGCAGATGCTGCGAAGATCGTCATATCGCCTCCTGCCTTATCGACAACGGGTGGAACAATGCATACGTGTGACATCCTTGATACTAGTTGAGCTTTTGCTGTCACAGACCCGAAATGACAATCCTCAAGCACCCGATCGGCGCCCGGAGCCTGATAGCACCCAGAACCCAAGCCCCAATCAAGCACATGTTCTCGTTCAAACCTCCTGCGCAGAGGTCATGGATGCAAGAGCATCCTGCCTAAACGGGCGGGACGAGAAGCCCTAAGCGGTGGCATGTGCGAGCCAACGACATTAGCTCTGCAGGAGCTGCAGGTATGGCAATTGTCAGTGCAAACGGAGCACTAGGCTTTCTGAAGGAACACTATAGACTGCAGCCCCTGCACCCTTACGATAGTTTAAATGATGTAGGGCTTGCCACAATGCCTCACAAGCTGTCCATCACGGGGCGAAGGCTTACCTTTCTGGTGCATCTGCATAAGCATCATAGGTTCGTCCGTCTGCACCTCTACGTGTATGATTCAAGTAGCGATTCCAGAGAGGCGTCGCGGCGCAACCAAGTGAAACGCTATTTTACAGGCACTTCTGGTGAATTGCGCCTGGATGCAGCAACACTGGGTTGACTGGACGGCAGGCGCTGCCGAAAACCTCTTGGCGCGGACTCTGCTCAAACGCGGGCTGCCGCCAAGGGCCGGGGCCGCGAAGGCCTTTAGCTCGGCCAGCCGCCATAGCCTCCACAGCGTCTGCTGGCTCACGGGATGTAAGGGTAATGTAGGTTCGAGACTTCAGGCCTGAAGGCAGTGTTCATCGGCTCGTGACTCGACTCGTGGTTCAAACAACGTGCGCATAGAAGCTCCAACGAACCAAACCAGCGGCCCCTCTAAGTTGTAGTCACATGCCAACCAGCAACCGGAAAGAGAACACAATAACAGGCAAAAGGATGACCTGCAAGCTGACAACCAGAACACAATCATCCTACTATCGCGCCTCCACCTCCACCACCACCACCACCACCGAAAGGTCCGGCTGGGCCTTTGCCGAAGCCGCCCTTCGGGGCACCTGGCACACAAACTAAACAGCTTGTTCCAGCTCGTTTACGCCAGCACATGATTGTCACAAAGGCAGGTGGCTCCAACCCCTCTGAACCTCACGATGATGCCAACTTCACATTCCCGCTTCCTTGCCTCCAAAACCTCCCGGCGGCTGGCTTCCGAAGCCTCCCGCCGGTTGGCTTCCGAAGCCACCAGGAGGTTGGCTTCCGAAGCCACCAGGAGGCTGGCCTCCGAAGCCACCAGGAGGTTGGCTTTGGAAGCCACCAGGACCCCCTGGACCAGGGGCAGCCCCGAAGGGATTTCCAGCCTCAGCAACACACCCTTCGTGTCAGGATAACCAGTGTCGAAGAACCACGAGGGAGAAAGCACAATCTTGCTCTTCGTTGGTGCAATTCCTGCTTTCAGCGTCTCTTCTATCTTTAGAAATCTAGGAATCTAGGACTGCTGATTACTGGGATTTACAATCCTCCAAAGCCACCCACGGCCCAACCCTTTCCACAACCTGAGCAGGAAGCCATTCGGTTCGTGCAGAAAACACATAAACAGACAGAGTCAAGGACCTAAGAGCACCAAAACCTAAGATACCCAATATCCAAATATGCAAAGTTGCAGAATACGTAGCATCTAGTGCCATCCAGAATGATGTGGCATGGCAGGTCATACATGTACGTATGACTAGCTTGAGACTTTCTATGGACATGCATACGCGACGCACCCATGTTAACCCGCTACAGTCTGCAAGACTTACTGTGCAGATGATGCTACCCACCGACTCACCGACTGTTCCCTGCAGTACATGGCGGGCATGAAACTAGGACGAGTGTGGGCTCTCTCGGCGGTCTACATGCTGGTAGACTGCCATGCACCGCGAGCTTCAAGTCGTCCCACAACTTGCTACGAAGGTTTTCGATTGCGGCAGGTGGCGCCACCGCCTTTGCTGCCGAAACCTCCAGACCCAGGCGGCGGCCCTGCACGAGCAAACATTTTGTGGCGATCGTACTTCCCGATACCGAGAGCCCCGGTATGCAGTGCACATCATGACATGGACCCCAGAAAGGAACGTCGTTCTCATAACAGTGACATGCACTGCAAGGGAACGTAGTTATCATAGCAGTGATATGCGTTGCAGCGGCACAGAAGTAGTTCTCAGCCCGACTGTCATCACAAATCAGGATGCAAGGAAGGAAAGCAAGCAGGGCTGGTTTGCACCACGAAACGGCACTCCAACTAAATCTAGCAGCCTACCTGCAATATTTGGTAGTGTGGCTCAGTTGCGCTTCCGGCACCTGAACTATCCTTGACAATCCTTGACTGTTGCTGGGAGCCCCCCAAAAGACGATCCCATAAGAGACCTCTTATATGAGAATGAAAAAAGAACCACACCCATCTCTGCATAGATAGCTATATATGATGTACGTAGATACCGTATGTGTATACATACATATGTATATATTGATGTGCATAGATGCACACCAAAAATCTGCTTTTTCTAGCTTTGTCTATCTACTGCCCTTGCACGGACGAGCCTCCTCCCTTCTGAGCATCCCAGCCGCCTGGCAAGCAAGAGCCCTCAGCCCCGAGACGTCTGCCAAACCCCTCTGGCGCGGGGCTCCAGTTGCCGAAGCTATTCAGGTGACTGGCTTACTAACCATATACTATATACCCTAGTAATTTACCATTTAGGTAGCTGGAGCCCGAAGGTAAGGGGAAGGTTTTGCGGAGCTCGAGCCCTAGGCGTCGTCTGCGATCGCGGTGTCGAGTTCTCGCTGTAAAAACACGAGACTTACTGCCCAGTAGAGCAGAAGTCGCGAAGGGCCCAGAGTCTGTGCTGTTGAAAGGCTGAAAGTTGGCAAAAACAGTGCAAGATGATACTTGCAGCATCTGTCTTGGTACCTCCGCACGGATGCAATAAGCAACGACATGGGCAAGATCAACTACTGCACGACATGTACTCAGAGAACAGTTGGTAAACGAAACAATGACGAAACATAGGAGCAGCAGTGGAACAGATTTGGCTCACTCCGCCCACTCCTGCCGAAAGCTGTGAGTACCCCAGCCTTTCGGCCCGCCACCTTTGTCGAAGCCGCCCGTCGGGGGGCCTGGGGTGCTGTGGGTCCAGCCCTTGAAAAAGGGCTTATGGTAGGTGTTGTTGGGAAGTGAGACCAGCTTTGATCACTTTGAGCGGGACCCGAATTTAGGGGAAACCCCTAATCGAGCCTCCAAAGCCTCCAGGAGCCTGGCCACCGCCGAAGGGATTCCCAGCCTGGGATCCGTCGTCGTGGGGCAGAAATGCTGTGACTTTGAGAGGGTCGCAACTTGGAGGCATGGTGATTGTAGTAGGCAAGGTACCGGGCAAGGAGCACAGCGCCGACAACAAAGCAAGCACAGCAAAAGCGAAGATGAGAGCAACAAAAACAGCGAGGAACAACTATCTTCTTCTCCGCTCTGGCAGCCTCAACTTACACCAGCAGCTGTTGCAGCAGCAGCATGCAGGAGTGAGCCGTCGTCGTGGTAGTGGCAGTGGGAATCGTGGTGCCAGCGGTGGCAGTAGTGGTGGCAGCGGCGGCGGTAGCTGTAGTGGTAGTGGTTCTGGTAGTAGTGGTGGTAGATGTAGTGGTACGCTAGGAGTGGTATATAGTGGCAATAGTTGTTGTTGTTGTCGTCCTCCTCCTCCTCGTAGGCGAGGTGATAGTAGCAGCAGCAGGAGGAGGAGCATCAGCAGTAGCAGTAGTAGTAGTCGTCGTCGTTGCAGTGATAGTAGTAGTAGTAGTAGTAGTAGTAGTAGTAGTAGTAGTAGTAGTAGTAGTAGTAGTAGTAGTAGTAGTAGGGCCAGCAGCAGTAGCACCCGCAGTAGCAGTATAGCGATAGCAGAAGTGGCAGCAGCAGGAGCAGCAGACGACGTTGTCGTCGTCGTGTCGTCGTCGTCGTCGTCCTCCCAGTCGCAATCATCCTGCTCGTCCTAGTCGTCGCAGACGTCGGAGGTCGCGGTTGCCGCAATTGTGGTCGTCGAGGTGGTGATAGCGGTAGGTACTGGTAGCAGTTGCGAGAGTGGCATAGGTAGTGGTAGTCATGTGACAGGCATAGCTCTTGTAGTGATGATGCCAGCACATTCTCATAGCTACATCATGTTGGTCCTTCTTTCTTGATGGAATACTCTCAATCAGAAATCCCCGCAAGTGGCTGGACATGGATCTTGCTGGGGTCGTATCCGGGCTGGCGGGCTTTGAGGTTCACGGCTACGGGATTTGAGGTTTCCGGCTTGCACCGTCGCAGAAGCTGGAGATGACCGTCAAGTGTAAAGAGACTGCTAAGTAGGAGCTTCTGAGGCCTTATCTCTCCTGGAAAACCGTAAGCCCTAAACCCTAAACCCCTATACCCCAAACCCAAAGCCCTAAACCCTTAACCCGTTAGCCCTGAATCCTGAAAGCTACATGCCGAGGCACGGCTGGGCCTTTGCCACCGCCGAAGCCTGCGGGTGCTTGGCCTGAGAGGCCCGGGAGTGTGGCGCTGCTGTTTAGGGTTTGTTTAGGGCTTAAGGTTTAGGGCTAGGGGTGCTTCACCGAGTTCAGGGTTTTTGAAGGATCTCATGATACAAACAAGAGCAAACCGAAGACGAAGTACCAGCAGAAACAGAAGGATCCGCCAGATACCTAAGGTGCGGTGCCATTTCTTTTGTAAGCTCGAAGATCCCAGGCCGCGGGCTCAAGTTGAAGACTTTATGTAGGGTTTAGGGCCGTTTAGGGTTTAGGGTTTAGGGTTAGGGGTTTAGGGTCAGATGTAGGCCTAAAGCTCCAAGGCTCAGATAATTCGGAACTGTGCTGACGTGAAGATTTGGGTGAAAACCCTCACCAACGGATCAGCCGAGCCCGCAGCTCCCGAAGCCACCGCTAGAAGGCGGGCCACCGAAGCCACTCGCTGGAGGACCTGGCTGTGCGTTTCTTGAGCATGTCAGGCTGCAGCCGCATCTACCAGGCCATCGCCGCAAGATGCATCGTACTGCAGCATCTTATTGAAACCTAGAAGCCACATTCACCACGGCAACTATGCTAACCCTGCTCGACGGACTTCGAGATTTCAGCAAAGCGCATCACTCAGTCACGATTTACTTTTGGACCGCTTGCTTGCAGATTGGTTAGCTGTTAGCCACCATGCTGCTATGAAGGTGCATGGAGGTGCTTCGAAACGGACCACTACTCGTACACCTTGCAACTGAGTTCATGCTTGTATCAACATGTTTTTGTGAAACATCGAATGCCCCAGACCTCAAGCCTAACCAATACAATACAACACTAATGCAACACTAATTTAATCTTAAACCCTAAGAGTATCTCATGATCTGCAAAGGAAGAGTGTTACATGACATGTGCGGCCGAGCCACCGCCGAAGCCACCTCCATTGGACGAGGGGATGGGAGGGAGGAACCGGCTTCCGGCGGCATCCGGAAGTGTTCGGATTTAGGGTTTAGGGGTTTAGGGTTTAGGGTTGGGGATTGAGGGTTGCCTTCCAGGTTCAGGGTTTGCGGTGTTGGTTTTTGGGGATAGTGCCTTAGGGCTGGCTTTGAAGCTTCAGGGCCACTGTTCCAGGTTTCGACTTCACGATACCACCAAAATCGTTTACTCCTTGAACCCTCCTAAACCGCATGAAACAATAAACCGAAGTCGACAGGAAACCATTCCGAAACCGTAAACAGAGGGGGTACCTTCTTTGGGGGTCCTGGCCTTATAATAAGGATCCTACTATTTAGGGTCCCCTTCTGCCCTGCGGGGCTGCGGCCTTTGCTCCCGGAGGAGGAGCCGAAGGGGCCGGGACCAGGAGGCCGAGGAGCCTCCGGAGACGAGAGGATTAGAAGCTCGGGTTTAGGATTTCAGGATTTAGGGGTTTAGGGTGGGGTTTAGGGTTTAGGGTCTTAGGGTTTAAGGTTTGGGGGTTTTGGGTTCGTTTTCGAACGGCATTTGAGTAGGGTTTTGCAGGGATGTCATTCTTTGAATCGAGTTTAGGGTCCGCGCTGGCTGGGTTTTGGTTGTGGGGTTTAGGGTCATAGCGTTTAGGGGTTAAGGCTTTTTGTTGAAGGCCATGTTCCGCATCGGGTGTTGGGCTCTTTTCGCGGGCTTGCGAACCAGGTTACTTGGAGGATCATGCAAGTTAGTAAGTAATGTTATCAGTACCCTAATTGGGATTGTAAGTATAGTTACGCTAATAATAAAACCCTAGTTACTAAGTCCCATGACCCTTTAAGTAGCTGAGGCTTTGGTGGACTGGGTGTCTGTTCAGGCTCTGGTCCTCGCCATGCATTCGAAGAGACAAACCAGTAGCAATCGCAATAACCATGACCACGACGATAGCTATTGTAGAAATGACAACCAGACTTTTGACAGTAAGATGTTGTGAATAACAGTAATGAAGAACTATAGCAAGAGAAACGAAAAGAAGAAGAATAGTAGAAGTAATGACAAACAGTCAAAATCATCATGACACGGACACTTATCATGCTGTAAACGAACGGCCCTAAAGGCAGCACCGCCTGGCTCTGCGGTGGGAAGGTATCGCCACCGCCGCCGAAGGGATTGCCTCCCCAGCCGCAAGGCTTGGGACCGAAACCGCAGTTTCCATTACTCAAAGGATCATGGGCCTTGGCGACTAGGGTTACTCTTAGGGTAACCATACTTATAACCCCAATTAGGGTACTTATAAGCTTACTTACTAAGTCCCATGATCCTCCAAGTAGGCGTGCTTGATATGGTGTTTCCGGCTTGATGGGTCGTGCTCCATGCGCGTATGTTCTTCTCTGGATATGTGCGTTCTGATGCTCAGCCTGTGTGCTTGCTTAGCAGTGCAGACAACAATCATGAGCTGATCCCTGAACTGGGCAACCCTAAACCCCCAAACAGAGGGAATCGCAGAAAGCCTCGGATTCTTTGGCGGCTGCGAGCTCACGGCGGAGCTCTTCGTTGGAACTACTCCGCTTCTGAAACTCGCTCGACACGCGAACCCCCATGACAGAGACCTCGAACCTCCAGAAACCCGGAGTCCTAAATCCAGCTAAAGCCTTGTTTTGGTGCTAAATTCAATCGCACTGGTGGCTCTTCCCGCCTTCCCGCGATGCTGGGCTGCCAGTAGTATGCGGCTTCGTGTCTGAGCTCTGAGCCTATTTTCAGCCACAAAACCCTGAACCCTAACTCGCGAATCTAGAACCCTAAGCCCTAAAACCCTGCCCTAGCCCCCAAAACCCTAAAGCCACAAAACCTCGAATCTGTGCTGCCCCCCGGTCTGCACCTGCACCTCCCGGCACCTCAAAACGCTGAGGAGACTTCGATGTGATGGTTAAATGGCTGGAGTTTAGGGTTCAAGGTTTAGGTTTTCGGGGTTTCGGCTTCTGGCGTCTGTAAGGACGTCCATAAAAGGTTCTGTAAAGGCTCTACCGAGATTCCACAAAGCCTGTAATTAGAAAGGTTCTATGAGGGTTCTACAAGAGTTTCTGCATAAAATCTACCATCGTTATCGGGGTCTGGGTTTGACAGGTTCTGGGCACTGTTTGGCACATCATCTGCGCCAAGAGGGGAACCCTCAACATGCCCGGAGGAAGGCCGAGGCAAGACGAAGTGGGGTGGATGCTCTTGACTGCTTTTGATACATGCCGTAAATGCCAGTTGCAGCTCAGGCAGAAGCTTTCAACTCAAAATAACTCAAAGCACTGCACAAGCTGCTTCCCCTCAAGTCCTGAATTCAACGTCGTTGAAGCATCACCCGTCTTGGCCCCCAGGCGCTGCCGAAGCCCTTGCCTCCGCCGTAGCCGCCACTGGCAGGAGGCTGGGGGTGAGGTTGAGGCACTTCCGCACTTCCTCTCTCAAAGTTCGGAAGGGCGATGCTAAGGGTTTGGGCTCGGCGTCGCTTGGTCCTTCATGTCCCTCCCCGATGGAGGACAAGTGCAGCGCCTACTTGGTGGAGGGCCCTCCAATTCCTCTGCAACTGAGAGGCTTACGAACCCCACGGAAACAAGAAGTATACCCAAACCATACCATCAAAGCCCCCTTATGCCTTCTTACGCATGTTCTTGGACTGAGGTGTCTTTGCGAGGCTCCCTGGGTCCGCTAGGCTCACCTCCACCTTACAACTCAACCCGCTGATCAAGTCCCCTGGCCCTCATTGGATCGACCTCATGGAGGACCCACCCCAGCCCTCGGCCAGAGGGAAGATTAGCAATGAGATTTTGGGGTTTAGGGCTCGGGGTTTAGTTTACGGTTTGGGGTTTAGGGGCACATGAAAAGAGTGGCAATGGCCAAAACTACTGATAGATAGTGCTTTTGCTTCCACTGCTACGATAAGTCACCACAGCCATGATCAGCTGTGCTGGTACCGAGAACTAGTAGGAACAGGAAAAACAACGATTGGTGCCATGTCTTCTGCTAAGAGTATTCTACTGATACTGCGAAGTGTGCCAATACTCCTCATGAACGGCTACGTATTAAATAATACATATGCGTATATAGAAGCTTGGGCTAAAGTCTAGGCTGTACTGTGGACTACGGAACATGCATTGCTGCCAGCACCCACTCAAGCTGTTACAATATGGAGTCCCTCGAGAACCTACATGGAAAAACCCGGATAACCTGAGATGCAGTTCTGCTGAGATCTGGGACTCTGCATTGACTTTAGTGCTTTCCTCGTGTCAAGCACTCAGAAATAGCAACCGGCAGCGACTCTTTCAACATCTACTCCCCCGATGAGTCCTGCATAAGTGCAATCCTAGCCAGCACCACGAGCTTCAACCCGAAGACCCGAAACCTCTGCGGTTTAAGGTAAAAGCCAGAAAGTTGGAACATGGTTATCCTAAACCCTTTATAGTAAATAATAAGGTATCCTACCCTGAAACCATATTCCAACTTTCTGGAGTTCCCTTTAGAGCTTAGGGCTTAGGGTTTAGGATGACCTCCCAACTCTCAACTCTGGCAGTTCCGAGGGCGACACGCTTCCGGGGTCGCCTTTGCCCCCGGGGGGTCCTTCCGATGCCACAGTGCTACTTGGGATTTCTATAGTATGGCTACTATGGTTAGGGATTTCTATAGTATGGCTCCTATGGTTAGCTCGGGCCTCTTACAAATTTTAGGTGTCTGTCCTCCGAAGCCCTTGCCGTCGCCGGCAGCGGCGGGACCAAGGGCGCCTTAGGGTTTAGGGTACGGCTTCGGCTTAGGGTTTCGGGTCTGGGGCTTAAGGTCTATAGGGGTCATATCAGAACCCCCGAAGCTCCATGAAGAAGCCTGAAGACTCGGCAGAATATCCCTTGCCGTCTCATGGTCCCTATCTACACCCCATAAACCATGGAAGCCTGTGATGAAACGCCCCCGTCACGCGATCACTCAAACCGGGTCGCCAGCCTTTCCCGCTGCTTCCCCACTCAGCGCCACCACCGCCCCTAATGGCACGGTCCAAAGCTTAGGGCTTGTGGGCTCCAGATTCGGTGGCGCAAGAGAGTTAACCCCCCCGTCACTCCTTTTCGGGGTAGGCCAAAGAAAAACGCTCACACAAGAGAAGGGCTTGCGAGCTCAGCGGTTGGCTTGATTTCTTAGATCCCTGCATGTTCTGAATTTCCGTCGGCTGAGGCTCCCACCAGCCCGAGCCGGGTGCCTGAGCGGTTGACAGGCTCTTGGTCTCTTCCTACTCTTAACCCGAAACCCCGAAGCTTAACGCCTACACCCTAAACCCCGAAACCCTACACCTCTAAAAAACAAAAACCCTACATGACATCCTACACCCCAAACCCTGAACCTAAACCCCTAAACCCGAAATCCCGAAACCCCAACCCCTGCACCCTAAACTGCTTCTTCATGGTCGAGCGGACAGAGCGGAAAATCTCGGGACCAGACTGAGGCGCCCCAGGGGCCACCTGGGCCCCCTGGGCCCTTGCCACCGCCCTTGTCTCCTTTCGACAAATCAGGGATCAGGGTTTAGGGTTTAGGGTTTAGGGGTTTAGGGTTTAGGGTTCAGGGATCCTCATCGTAAACCCAAAAAGCTGAAACTAGAACATGGATGATTACATGATGCTGCTGCATGCTGCAACTGCGACTCCATGCACTCCCTCGTTCAAGCTGGAGTTTCCAACTATTCGGGCAATAACTACAGGCCCTGCTCCCTGCACCGACGTCGCCTCCAGGCCAGCCGCCTGCTGCTGTTCGATTCAGGCAGGAAGTGCAATCCAGGTGCAGGGCTGTGTTCCCTGCACTATCGGGGCCTTGATATTTGGAAAAGGCTTTTGGGTGCCCATTATACTATAAGTACAATCAGGAGCCCCCAGAAATAGTACTTGTAACTCTTTAGGCCCCTATATTAGCTGCTTGTGATACGGGTGAAGGCTTATCATGGATGCAGGAGCCACGACGAGGACGGGCCGAGGCCAACAGATCTCCAGACCCCCCAGGGCAGATTCCCCTACCCCTTGAATAAGAAATACAGGCCTTATACGGGTTAGGGGTTAAGGGAGGATATGCCTTACAATACATATGGGGCTTGTAGGGTCTAGGGATTAAGGACTATGCAAGGTATCCGCTGGCAGCTGCCACGTTCCCGACCCGCCTCCGCCGCCCTTCTGGCCGTTGCTCTGGGGCCAGCCCCCTCCACGGTTCAGTAGTCGGCGTTTGGAAGTTTGGGTTTTAAGGCCTTCGGGCTTGAGGGGTTGAGAGGTTTAGGGGTTTAGGAGTAGTTTGTGGCTGCAGACGACCTAACACTTTCCAGGCTTTGATGCTGCACTGTTAAAACACTCTCCGGCTGCTCCTCACAATCGCACCTTGATATCACAGTCAGAGGATTGGAAGACTCTCTAGTTTCCTGAAGGACCATCCAGATCACAAGCCATGGAAGAAAGGCAAATCTTTCGGGACCTTAGTCCGAACTGTTTGGAATTTGAAGCCCTCGAACTCCGCGAGGCCTGAGTTATCCGGCCAGTCACCGCCCTTTTGGCCGTTGCTGGAGGGCCAACCGCCTCCTCGTCGCAGGCAAGCTGCACTCAGCAGGGCCCCATCCCATGAGACTAGATCGCCTTATCAACTTATACAGACCTGCGAACTCTGGCCACGGATGGAACATCAGGTTTGAAATATTTTCGGCGGGTACTGCTTGCTCGGTATGCACATCTCCAATCGCGCAGTTGAAAATCGAACCGAAATCCCTTCTTCGCATTTCCAAGCCGGACCGTGACTAGTGGGTTCTGCTCTTGACATTTGACGAGTTGAAGACCGCGATCTGGGAACATGATGTGCTTTATGTGCGTTCAGCTTTAAGCGCAAGGGAAACGGTGCGCGGAAGCATGCTCTTGTCTACAACCCCGGGCTCTAAGCTCAGGTGGGTGGTGAGAATGGTACCCGACAGTCTCACTACAGACTCCTCAACTGTGAATGTGCGGCACCTGGTTTGTTTCAGGCACGCACCCAGGTGTGTACATAGGAAGTGTATGTACATGTGATATGTGCCACATACAATCAAAGACAGACAGACGGACAGACAGGCAGACAGACAGACCGACTGACCGACCGATAGACAGACAGAATGAAACATAGACAGATAGACAGACAGACAAAAAGACACACAGATAGATGGATAGATTTGGTTGATTGGTTGATAATTAGTCGGTAGCTAAGGCACATAGATGCAGGTCTCTCTGAGTTTTTTTGCATCTCGACTTGATACTGCTTACACATGGGCATAGAGAAACACAAGCAAAAGGATAGAATACATACACAAGCACCTACCTATATACCCCTCACATATGTACGACGTACTTCGCTAACCTACACACCGCTGCGCGTGTGTGCCGATCGGGGCTCAACGTTTCCACGCCTCCGGAGGCGCTGCTCGGCCAGCCTTGCACAGCACGATTTGGGAGCTTCCGGGAATTAGGGGTACCTTATTTTGGGGTCCTTATGATAAGGATCCTACTATTTAGGGTACTATATTAGAGTCCCCTACTTTCGGAAACTCCCATTTGGCGTTTGGAATTTAGGTCCCAAAACCCAACAAATCGCAATCAGCATGACATCCAACAAGTGTTTGCTCAGTGCTGTCATCTTGTTCACCATGCTTACTTGCATCGTACTACCACCTGATATGTATGATATGGGAAGCTTCCGGAAGTCAATCAATTAGGAAGCGAAGGCATTGTTCTGTTTTCGACACAGATTTGCGGCTGCCGAAGCAGAATCCACGGCTTACACGTTGTATTCTAACGATTTTTGCCTTCAACGACACTTCTGGCCATATTGATCTGCTTGAGCGGTTCATTCTCGGCTCGAACAAGGCTCCTGAGGATTCCGAAGGACAGCCTCCACAAGTGTTGTTGAACATGGCGCATGGGCTTTGATGGAAACCAGTGCGTAGGAAGTGATAGTAGATGATGGTGTACTGCATTGGGTTTATTGGTTTTCTATATCATGACAATGATGATGCACTGCACTTCATCGTACATATTCTTTTGGATGCACGTTTAGCGCGGAAGTTCAAACTCGGACTTGCCTCCGGCGTCGCCGCCAGCTTGTGGCCAGCCTCCTTCAGACGTGCCGGCAGTGTCTACCAGGCACGAACCACACACCATCACACACCCAACATCACGGCTTGGGGTTGAGTCGCGCGTGCAACAGCTCAGAAGCTTAAAGTTCGACTTCTCAACGTCGCCCGATCCTCAAACCTGACCCTGCAGCTTACCTTTTGTTATATAGTAGGGAATGGAGGAATGGGGTACAATTATACTGATAATTACTATTCCTACCATTCTTCCATTCCCTACGAACCAAAGGTAAGGTCATTATACTATGATTATAATAAGGAACCCCCCAAAATTAGTATATGGAATGACTTAGGCCCCTATCCATAGATCCCTCAAAGGGAACCCCAAAAATTAGTATAGCTAAGTATTTAAGCCCCTATAGAACCGGCTTCTTTGGGTGATCGCGCCTGGCGCAGAAGGCTTGCTCGGCTCCTTGGCCCGGACGACGCTACGCTGCTACAAAGGAGGATCATGGGACTTAGTAAAGGTTCTTCAAGGGCACCTGAAAGGGATCTGTAGGGTTCCTGAAAGGGATCTATAAGGTTTAGGGTTTAGGGTACTTGGAGGATCATGGGACTTAGTAAGTAAGGTTATAAGTACCCTAATTGGGTTTATAAGTTTAGTTACCCTAATAAGAACTCTCGTTACCATGATCCTTTAAGTACAAACGAGGCTTGGGGCTGTTGAGAAAAGACGCGACAGGCTGTCGCAGGGAGAAGCGCAGGGACATGCGAAGTCTTCGAGACACAACAAGGTGAGCTCATTGAAAACACCCTGCAGCAAAATGACGAACGACGACGACGACGACGGAAATTGCAACACTGGCGGTCGTAGCAGCAGCAGCCGTCCTGCAGCGGCAACAGTAGAAGCCGTGGTAGTTAGATCCAGCTAGAGCCCTGGACCCGAAACCCTGAACCCTGATCCGAAATTGGAGCGCTGCCTCCTCGGACTCGTCGGAGTAGGACTCAGAGCCTCGGTCCCCAGCAGTTAAAAACTAAAAGCAGGCTGGGGGTTAGGATCCTTTGCGGGATCCTTTCAGGACTTCTCTAAGGGCTCTGGGTCTAGAAAGAGTTCAGCTCAGGGGCTTCGGGTTTTGTTTGGCGCTTTAGAAGTGTCGGTTTCAGGAGTCTTTGGGTGTGTTTGTAAAGGTGGCCTCGGGGCTTAGCAAGATTGCAACAATCTTGATAGCAACAACGATGACAGCATTGGTAGGAAGAGCGACACACGATTCTGGATAGCTCCATCGGGTTTGCCTCGGCGTAACGTGCATGTCCTTCCTGCCCCAGGCTATCGATGCTTTGCGAAGCAGCGGCAGCTGCAAAAGTGTGGGCCTGGAATCACAAGAGCTATTTATCTTGCAGGAAGGCCCCCCTCCCAAGCAACCCCCAAAACCCGGAACAGACACCTTTAGAGAGCCTCGAAGTCTTGAGCCGGAAGCCGGCATCCCAAAAAGGACACGAAACGCCTAGATCCCTGAGGAGGACACCGGAGGAGCTCGAGGTTGAAGGAGCCTCGGTACAGCGTAGGGCTGAGGGTACCTGAACCTGCCAAACCCTACTTTTTTGTAGGATCCCTATAAACTCCATATTAGGGTTTATAATAAGAACCTACAAAAAGTAGATTTTTGTAGTTTAAGGTACAAAGCTTCGGGTTCAGGGTATGAGGGAAAGCATAGCACAGCTTTGGGTTTAGGGCTGAGGGTTTAGGGGGGCGGTGGGGGGTTTGGGCCTCACAGGGCACGCGGAGGTTTCAGCTCCGAGTCATATTCGGACTGCTGACACTGCTGACATGGGCTGCTGCATGTTCCGAATACCCTAAACCCTAGACCGTAAATACCAAACCCTGACTGACGGCCCTATCAACAAATCAAGTAACCCTTGTTTTCAGCGCTCAGGTCTGCACGCGAGGCTTTGCTGCCGGCTTGCTGCTGGGCCTGAACCCCCAGGACAGTAGGTTGAAGCTCCGCAAAGAATGATACTAATATGTGATACTAATATCATTATATTATGATATCGTAACATAAACAAGTGAAACACACTACATATTACAAGACCTTACATGTTATACATGTGTTACACACACACATATATATATATGTGGGATATTGTGGGATTCAAGATCTGACCTTCTCCTCACTCCTTCGCTAGCAGGACCTATGCATGAACTCTGCTAGGATTCGTCTCTCCCGTAAGTCCGCTGAAACCGAAACTTTCAGAAAACCTGGGCTCCCTGCTTGGAGGCTGGAGGAGCACCTCGAGAGGGGAGTTGTACTACTGCTGAAAAGGCTTTTTGTTTAAGAAGGTTCTGCAAAAAATAAGATTGGTCGAAGAAAGCAACTCTTCTACAAGGACTCGTGACTCCAGAAACAGAAGGCTCCAAAACCCTAAACCCTAAACCCCTAAACCCCGAACCCCTAAACCCCTAAACCCCTAAACCCTAACCCCTAAACCCCCCAAACCCTAAACCCTAAACCCGAACCCACATCCGGGCTGTGGCACTTTTGGCTCCCTCGGCCAGGAACTTGTCCAGGGCTTCCTCCACGTTCCAGGCACACCGCCTTGAGAACTTCACGGTTTCATTGGTTTAGGGGTTCAATTCAAGTTGCCCTAATCTGGGTTGTGCTTTAAACCCTTTGAAAGTTATTTATGAATAGGATCCCTTATAAGGAAATAAGGGAAATTAAAAATTATCCCAAAGCACAACCCAGTAATAGGAATCTAAAGGAGTTCCTGTAAGGGATCTGTAAGGGCTTCTTTTCAGCGTTTAGGGTTTAGGGTTGTCTACGAGGGCTTGGGGGTTCAGAGGGTCTAGGTGATTTTGGAGAACACTTGCTAAACTTCTCCAGCTCCTTGGTCGTAGCTTTCAAGAATTCCCTCAACCCGGGTTTAGGGTTTAGGAACCCTGAACATCCTAATTCGAAGGGCAGTGAGTGACAAGAAACATCCAGATCCGACCATCCCGACCCTAGTCACATGTCGGAGTGCATGGGACCACTCTCGCTTGCCTCTTTGTTCAATCACCGCTGTCCACCAAAGCGAGCATCGCCCCAGGTCACAACAGATCCATCGAAAAGAATAGCTGCAAAAGCACCTTCACAGGCTTGGATCTCGCACACTCTCTTCAGCTGATTTTGCACAGCACTGCTGTCACCACCATAGTTAGCATGACCCCAGGTCACGACAGAACCATCGCCCAGAATGGCAGCGAAAGCAGAGTGAGACGCTTGGATCTGCTGCACATGCTTCAGCTGATCCTGCACCACTCCGCTCTTCCCACCAAAGCGAGCATCGCCCCAGGTCACAACAGACCCGTCGTCAAGCAGAGCAGCGAAAGCATGGTGAGAAGCCTGGATCTGCTGCACATTTTGCAGCTGCTGCTGCACAGTAGAACTCTCACCACCGAAGCGAGCATCTCCCCAGGTCACGACAGACCCATCCCCCAGACTGGCAGCAAAAGCACGCTGGGATGATTGGATCTTCTGCACATTCTGCAGCTGATCCTGCACGGCACGACTGTCACCACCAAAACGAGCGTTTCCCCAGGTCACGACAGATCCATTTCCACAAATGGCAGCAAAAGCACCCTCATTGGCTTGGATCTCACGTACATTCTTCAGCTTGCTCTGAACACCGCCGCTCTCACCACCGTAGATAGCAGGACCCCAGGTCACGACAGATGCATCTCTAAGAATGGCAGCGAAAGCGTGATAAGATGCTTTTATCTCTCGCACATTCTTCAGCTGCTGCTGCACGGCAGAACTGTCACCACCGCCGCGAGCATCCCCCCAGGTCACGACAGACCCATCTGCGATAATGGCAGCGAAAGCGTGGTACGCTGCTTGGATCTTCTGCACGTTCTTCAGTTGATCCTGCACAGCGCTGCTGTAACCACCAAACCGAGCATCGCCCCAGGTCACGACAGATCCATCAGTACGAACGGCAGCAAAGGCATAGTAAGAGGCTTGGATCTGCTGCACGTTCGTCAGCTGCTGCACAGCCTGACTGTCACCAACAAAGCGGGCGAGTCCGGGGTGGCCCCAGGTTACCACAGATCCGTCACCAAGAAGGGCAGCAAAAGTACCTTCACAAGCTTGGATCTGCTGCACGTTCTGCAGCTGATCCTGCACATGAGTACTGTCACCGCCAGAGTCAGCAGCCCCCCAGGTCGCGACCGACCCATCGCCAAGCACGGCAGCGAAGGCGTGCCGAGTGCCGCAGACTTGAACCCTTTGCACGTGCATGGTCAGTACATCACCTTCTTGCAAGCCGACATTCCTGATAGCTGCAGATCCAAGGAGAGCGCTTCCAGATGAGTTTAGCAGCCGCCCGCTCCTCACTCCAAGAGCAGTCTCCGCCCGCAGCTTCAACGTTTCCACCTCTTCATCCAGGCCTGCATGTATTGCAGCTGTCCTGCCACTGAGCAGCCCAACTTCCACAGTAATCGCATCGCCCGACGGAGAATCCAATTCAGGCATTTAGCGGGATTCCAGGGGCGTGCCCCGGCATGGTTTGATCCGTGCGGTTTTATGTTCGTGATGTGGTTTTTTCGAAACAAGCGTCATCGCGTTCTCGGCTGTGTGTGGTGATTAGCCGGGCTGAGTCACCTTCAAGTGGAGATGTTTGCAGTAAGCTAATTACTCGACTTTTTCGACAAGCAACACTCAAAACCGACGAAGTGACTTACAGAGACGCATCAAAAGCCAGCATCTGACAGGACATGAGCCTCTCGCCCGAGAGGACAGCGTGCAGGGTAAATGCTAATGTGCTGCGAAAATGCCAGGAGAAAGAAGTCACCATACGCCCCAAAGGGCCAATGACCGGGACAGATCAATCGGAACTGCCATGGCCCCGAGCATGCAAGATAGTGGTGATGTCTGGCGGTGGCCCTGCGACGACGATGAGGATGACGACCGCTACCACCACGACCCTACCACTACTGCCACCACTACTACACCAGACTCACTAGACCTTAAACCCAAAGCCATGAAGCCGAAAGCCGGAACCAGCTAAGGGTGCCGCGAGCGATCCCTGTTCCGAGACCCCGACTCCAGATACTCCTCGGCCTCCTTCTCCGTTACCTGCAAGGAAGCACGGATGCTCTAAGGTTTCTCTCCGAGTTTAGGGTTTAGGGCAAGTTTAGGGTTTAGGTTGTGTCACTTCTCTCAGTGCGCACCCTGGTACGGCCAGTGCAGCTCCAACATCGAAGCCTTAACCCCACGAGCTCCAGGCCTGAACATCACTGAGCCCTCATCTTACCTTTGGTTAGTAGGGACTGGAGGAATGGGGTGGAATTATAACTACTATTACTACCATTCTTCCATTCTCTACTAACCAAAGGTAAGTCATGCCCCAAAGCCTCAACCCTACACCACCCTAGAATCCCAGGAACCCAAACCCGAACTCCACAAGCCCCAAAGCCGTAAAACCTTGAAGCCCTTAAGCTCTTTGCGCCAAGCCCTAAACCCTGAACCCTAAACCCTAAACTCTAAACCTAAACCCTAAAGGCCTTAAACCCTAAACCCTATACTGCCTTCGCTATGGTCATGAACTGCTCGGCGCGTGACTTCCGCTCCATCCTCGGCGCAAAGACACTTGGGCAAACAGCTCAGGGTCAGAAGCCAAGAGGACGAGCAAAGGGGCAGGGGGTTTTCTTCCCCTAAAGCCCAAAGTCCCCTAAACCCCAGAAGCCATGAACCGCTACCAGTGGTCATGACCCGAAGATGATGGAAAACCCTAAACCCTAAACCCTAAAACCCTAAACCCCAAAACCCTAAACCCAAAACCCTAAAACCCGTGGCAAAATGAGGGGGGCCAACAAGAAAAGAGAGCAGCCGAGAGCCGCGCATGCCGGGCCTGTCGTCTCCTGGGCCTGGTGCACTGGCTTTGGGAGTTCTGGGAAAATACTTAAAGGATCATGGGACTTAGTAACTTTTAAGGGTTCCTTAAAGGGTTCCTTAAAGGGATCTATAAGGGATCTATAAGGGATCTATAAGGGATCTTAGGTGGGGCTTATACACGGTTTAGGGTTTAGGGCTATAGGATTTTGATTTATCTCAGAGGATCATGGGACTTAGTAAGGTAATATATATATATATATATATATACCCTCATGAATTGGGGTTATAAGTATAGTTATCCTAACAATAACCAAGGATCAAGGCACTTAGTAACTAGGGTTATTATTAGGGTAACTATACTTATAACTCCACTTAGGGTACTTACTTATAAGCTTACTTACTAAGTCCCATAATCTTCCAAGTAGCTGGGGCTTAGGATTTAGGATTATCTTTTTCAGGCGGGGGTTCAGGGTTTAGGGCGTAGGGCTTGGGGGCATAGATGTCCTACAGCAGGGAAAGGCCGGACAAAAACACTAAACCCAGCACCCTGAAACCTTTAACACATGAACCGAAATACAGAAGAAAACTATCGCGGCAGCTCATGGACGCCTGGAACTCCGCGAGCGGCTCGCACCCCCCCAAAGCTCAAGGCTACAAAGTCTCTGTTGATAAACCCCGACCTTCGAAACATTAGGGTTTGGGGTTCAGGATTTAGGGGTTTCAGGGCTTTGGGCATACCCTTTAAGGGTTGCTTAGGGGCGTAGACCTGAAGGCCTTTGAAGACCCCGCACCCAACAGAGCAGCTCAGGGTGCAGCGGGGCCCTCCTCTTTGGTTCATGTACCTGAAGGGTGCAGGGGCAAAGTTCAGGGTTTACAGCTTCTAAGGTTTAGGACTTAGGGTTGATGATTTAAGGTGTAGGGCAGTGTAGGGTCTAGGATTTAGGGTTTCGAATTTCGGGCTTAATTGGGGTTTAGGGTGTGAGACGTAGGGTTTAGGGTTAAGGATTGAGGGTTTGGGGTGACGTATTAAAAGGCTTGTCTGGAAATACCCGGAGCGCGGGATGCCTACCTGGCATTGTACGCACAGTATGTGGACATGTAGTACTGTAGCGTTGCAGTCAGATGCAGTCAGGGCCTCAGGGAGACAATGCCCAAACTAGAGCTTGTTGACTTTCGATGATCAGCGGCCCTTTTGGCCGAATCCTGGAAATCATCTGCGTCTTCGAAGTGGCTCTGTTTTTTGTCGCCTCTTTTCCTCCTGCCAAGTACTGTTAGTCGGAAAGCCTTTTGCTTCGAAGCGGTTCCGGGTAGGGGGGTTTGAGGCTCGAATTCATCGTGCTTTTGCCACTCTTATCTAGGCGCCCGACTTGAACACAGCCTCCTCGACATTCCAGCTGTGCCTCTCTAGCCAATCCTGCGCCCAGCATGATCGGGATGGGGAGCAGCGAAATTGTTTCGCTTTTCCTACGCTCAATCTGTAAAGCGCCTGGCGTGCACGGGTTTCGAAGTGCTTTGAGTTGAGGAGCAATCAGTTCAGGTTCAACTGGGAAGTAGTCCTAGGACGGAATCTGTGTTGCAGCTCCGGAGTGGACCTTGCCTTTCAACTCCAAGCAAAGTGCAAGGGCTTAGCCCATGCAGAAAAGCTTGCGATGATGTCGCTTCCCTTTGCCCCGCCGCCGATGCAAATCATCGCGACAGACCTGTCACATCAGAAGCCTCAATAAAGCCGCCCGGAAGCCGACAAAATCCCCTGCAGAACGTCCTGCGCAGTCAATCTGCTCTCGTTGGTCATGTTCATGAAGAGCTGTACCTCGACAGAGCTCTCATCCGATGGGTCATGGCCCGAACAGCCCTGGGCTTCAAAGCTTCCTCCGTGCTGCCTTGGGAGAAGGGAAGAGACGATATGCCGGGAACAGAGCCCGCGCACTCCACGAATTCAAGCCGCCAGAGAGACCCAACTGGACGGCTGCAGACAGAAGATGATACTTATTATCTGATTAAATAGACTATACTAGAATTTTTTGAAGGTTCGGGCTTGCTACCATTCGACAGCTTGCACGTGGTAGCTTCTTGCCTCTAAGGTCTCATGCCCAGGTTCCCCTTCGCTAAATACGGGCTGACGACTTCGTGCATCTTGGATCCCTCTCCACCTTCGAGCCCCAGATCTGGACCCAAGAGTCCGGCGAGAAACGCAGCCATCAAGAAGCCACTACACGTAGAAGCCCGAAAACCCTGCATCGCAGAGCACCATCGCCGCGACGTCGGCCTCGGATTGAGGCAGTCGTCCTTGGCAGGGTCCAGACGGCCGGGCAGGATCGGCATGGACCCATCAGCGTGCTGGCCTAGACCCTCGCCTCTAGATCTGAAAAGCCTTCAACCATCTCGAAATAACCCGAGAGCAATCAGAAGTTCGCAAGACGCGAGTCCACGCCCCACAAGCAGCCCCCGCTTCCGCGACAAGCGCCGAGGGCAATGCCAGCGACTGGGGAGCTCGGACTGGAGTGTGGACCTGCAGTAAAAGGCACGCTGAGTGTAGGGAGCACATATGGTGCAGAAGGAGTCTTGAAGCAATCCAAGCAACGATGCTTTGTATGATCTCCGATGCTTCCGGGTCTAGACGCATCGGATCTCATGCATAGCTTTCATTAAGTATTACATTCAGAGGCTTCGATTTGCTGCACATTATTCAACTGACTTTTCACTGCACGACTGTCACCGTTACATTGATCAGAGCCCCAGGTCACAAGACATCCGATGCTGAGAAAGGCAGCACAGGCCAACGATTTTCAAAGAATAGCTGCAAACGCACCATTCGTGGCTTGGATTTGGCATACTGCCTGCATCCGATCCGAAAAAGCACTGCGAGAACCAGTTTCATCAACACAGCACTTCACGGTAGAACCATCGCCGAAGGTCAGAGGCTTGGATCTGCTGCACCTTCTTCAGCCTGATATGGAACTGCTGTTAGCACCACGGAAGCTGCCACCCCAGGTCATGACAGATCCGTCTCCAAGAGTAGCAGCAGAAGTTGCTGCGTGGCTTGGAGTGCCTCACGTTCTTCAGCCGATCCTGCACGTTACTTTTCTCACCACCGTGAAAAGCACTGCCCCAGGTCATGACGGATCCATCACCAAGGATGCCAGCAAAGGCTCTTCCAAAGGCCTGGATCTGCTGGACTTTGTTCAGCTAGATTTGCACGGCAGGGGCTGGCAGCACCAAAATCGTCAGGACCCCAGGTCATCACAGAACCATCGACAAGACTAGCCGCAAAGGCGTGAGTAGTCTGGTATATGTGAGCTTTCTTGACGTGCCAGGTCAGGCAATCACCATGTTGCAGCCTTGCCCTATACCTGAAAGCCATAATACCCCACATAATGCCCTTTGAAGGAACCTTAACTTAAACCCTAAACCCCATAGTAGTTCCTAAACGGCCTTAAACATCTGAAACCTTGCGCGGGCGTTGCATCAGCATCGCCAGGTGTCCGGGCTCTCCTCCGGCTGCTTCCGCCTCCACGGCCGCCGTGCCTCGCACATGAAGGGGGCATCCACTTCTGGTATAGCATGATGTTAACATAGTAGAAATAATGAAAAATCATGAAAACCATAACAATAACAATAATAACAATAACAATTACATCACTAGCAAAAACACTAATACTAATAATAATGATAATAACAACAAGACTAAAAATAATAGAGCAATACTAAGAATAACAATTGTAGTCATAATAACAATAATAGGGATAACGATAATGATGATGATGATGATGATGACAATGATAATGCTACTACAAACAGCAGTACCAAATAGTAACATCACTAGTAGTATAATAATAGTAATACTGATAGTAAATAAGATGCCGTCAAGCCCTATTCCGAGCATTATGGCCCTTGTATTCAGATGTCTAGTTCTTTAAGCTTACGGTCTGGGGGTGGGGTGAATCGTAACGAAGACTTTGGCCACTCTAGCTTGTCGCAGCGACAGCCGGGCAGGTAATCCGCTACGTCTGCGGAATGTTGAGACTTCTGGGCTTACAGCGCTTTTCACATGACGGACTCTGGCCTGACTACACCCTGCACCTACAGTTGTGATGCGGAGACTTGTGGAGATCGGACTGACATCCATGGACCTTCTTGTCACAATGGCCCCAACAGGTCACTAGGTGGAGGCCTGCGTCCAGTAGTAGAAAAAGCCATGAATGGGTACGCTGCAATACTCGAAGCTTGCAACCCTTGGAAATATGTCCTACGGTAAAAACCCATCAAGCCTCGGCCCGAGAAGCCCAATAAACCCGTAAGCCCCTGAACCGTAAACTCCTAAGCCGTACCTTAACCCAATATCCTACAGTAAACAAACCCCATCAAAACCGAAAGAGATCCGAAACCAAAAGCGCCGACATCAGAGCCCACCCGGTCGAAAGGTGACTTGAAGGCGCTGGAACCGCCAGCCTTCTCAGGGATTCAGGCGTTTAGGTTCTTGTTTAACGCAAATTTCTTTCTTGCAGCGATCTAATTTTCAGGATCTAATTTCACGTAGTTTCACGAGGCTTGCAGAAACCGGGTCCTCAAGGCCTAGTAATAAAGCTTGCTCACTCCCATGGAAGTGGCAGCTGCAAAAGCAGCGGGAGGAGAGGAGCTTAGCGTTGCCATGATGGGTGCAGGTATTGCTTCTGGCTTGGCCTCAAGTCATCACTTTTGCCTTCGAGCCCCTCATGCCATGAGGAACAACAAGAAGTATCGGATCTCGGAAACCCAAAGCCCCCTGCAACTGCCGTGACAAAGCCTGCAAGATGTTGAGTGCACCACGGTCCTGCTTGTTGTCAACGCTCCCCGGTGCGCCCACGGAAGTCATCTTCTGCGAGAGCTTCTGTGCCTTCTCCTTTTCCTGATGAGGCTTTGCCGGGCGATGTGCGCATTGAAGGTTTCGGATGCTCGGTTCTGTACAGAAGATCTGCGCTTTGGCTTCGTGTGGAGGGGCCTTAGGGCTGTTGGCAAACCATGGCGGAGACGACTGAACTCCAGCCGCCTAGGCCAGCAAGCACAAGTTGCTTACCCTCGTGGGTAATGAAAATCACAAGCGAAAGCCCCAATGCCACGATAAGGTTTATGGCCGCTTAGGAAGTTTAGGGTGTAGAAGCTGGCAGCCCCGGCAAGCCAAGGCCTCCTGCAGGTACTCCTCATCTGTCAGCATCTCCAAGATGGCAGCAGCCTGAGGTCAAGATACGTCAAGGGTCGACAAATGGTGGAAGGCACCGAACCACTTGTGTCGGATGATTCCAACTCTAGCGGACTGTAGCATGCTGCTATCCATGGCCAAGTAATGCCAGTGTTGATCAGTGTTGTTTCATAAGTCGGACTGCTTCGACACCATGAAGCGACATGTGCACTGCTGCAGTCTCGGCAAGCCCACGTCGCCAAGCACAAGGCTTGCTTGACATCTTCCATCCCGACCCGTGCGGCCCGTGCCTTCGATCGGATGCCGGCCCCAACATCTTTGCCCTCCTCCATGAAGCGGAACTCTTTCCACTGCCTGAGTCAACCGATTCAGTGCAGCCCTTAGGATTCCCCACTTCGGGCAGCAAACTGCAACCGGCTGCTAGACATAGACTCTTATGACAATGGTTCGCCCAGCCGCTCAAGCTATCGGAAGTGTTGAGAAAGCTCAGAGAGGCACTGAATTCTCCACTGGTCTCTCCGTACGTCCTGAGCATGCGAATTGGCAAAAGGCGCATGGCTTCTGACCGTGTGGTGACGCCGAATCAGGACTTTCAGATGGGATTTTGGACCCCAGCCTGGATTGCCCGTTCACTGCCGTGCTTGAGGATGACCTCACAAGGGCAAGCATCGCACACAGACTAGCGTCAGAAGCCTTCGAGGGCTTACACCCAACGTCGTCGGACTAAGTCAGCTTCCTATGCTAGGCCACAGTGCTTCTGTACCTCCTGGACCAACCCAAGAATCGCAGCCATACAGCCCCAGCGCATCCGAAGACTTTCCCACCAGCACCTCCAGCAAAGCCATCGTCTTCACGATGCGTCGCCACTCCTTGTCCTTCTTCTCCTGCGAGGGATGCTCAAGCGCGATGGGCTCTCAGCAACTCTATCCTGGCAAGAACAGTCTATTGGCTGTATAGGTAATTATTAAGGCCCCAATAGTACCCTTATTGGTCCCTTATAGTACCCCTTAGGCCCTATATAAGGAATGCAGCTCTTCCTCCTCTCGACTGGCACAAGGTCAAGACCTGGGACCCTGAGGGGATGCAGGATGCGAATCCTGATCTAAGGAGCCGCAAAGGCCAAGCAATCAGCTGTGCACCCAAGTACATCCGAAACAACAGCATGTACGAAGAGCATATCCTGAAGGATCTTCCAGATGAAGCTCATGACCATGTCACAGTCTTCCTCAGGCAGCTGTTTGCCGCAGCAGGGTAGCGTCGGTTCCACGGACCAACAGCGAAAGGTTGACGGGTTCCCGGGCCACAGCTTTTTTTGCACTGGAAGCCGGTGAAGATCCAGTTGCCTAAAAACCGAGTCTCCCGCCATGTTGTTGGTGGCCGTCGCTATGGCCTGAGCGAGGGTGACAAGCGGAGCTCGGACGGGACTGCGAAGTAGTACGGAAGAAGCTCGAGCTCCAGCTTGCTGGATCCATGTCGTGAGGCATTCATGAACTAGACGTGGCAACAGCAAGCTGTGCATCTTCGTAGCTGAAACCACGACATAACACAACGTACATGCAAAACATGCCGCAAAGGAAGCGCCAATGTGGCGACTGTAGTCCACCCACAAACATCGAGTGCTGTAACGCTGTTACAAACTGCCTGCAAGGTCGTGTTGGGCACGCCCCATTTCTCTCTCGATGTTGCCTGACAGCCGCGAAACGAATGCAGGAAAGGCCTTGCCGTTGGCACTCCAACGGAAAGTGAGGAGGAATGCAGTGCGACCTACCTCACCTGAGCAATGTGGTGCTGTGTTCCCAAGGTGCTCGCCCTTCAGCTCCATGCATGACACTGCTCTGCGGACACTGAGACTGCAACTAAACAGCCGGTAAACCCCGAAACATCGCGATTTGCACACAAATCGATGCCGTACAACTCCCAGCCCTTCCTCTTTGAGCTGGGTCTCCAGAGGAGATTCTTTCTTCCTGGTCAGCAGGCGCGTGCTTCTTGAAGCCTTCAACATGGTTCGCAATTTTTGGATTCTCACGTTCTCTGCAACCGTCAAAACCCGCCCTAGGTGCGCGGACCTCCACTCTGCGACAGTTGTGATGGACCGAAACCAGGACAACTGCGAAGCCATCTATGGACATGAACTTGTTTCGGAGTCGCATATTCCACCCGGCTTGCTGCGCCTCATGCTTCCCAAGCCCTCCTTCATCCGACCGAACATGATCGCCACACCTTTGCGAGAACTCACATCGCGGGGAATGACTGTCTGTTTATGTGATATGACCCAACTACATATGCCGAACATCCAAAGCTTCAAACGCGAATGACTGCAAGCAAGCGGCACTAGCACCCGAAGGCAGCAGGGTCGAACGATCTGCGGTGATTGGCTGACAACGTCTTGCTCCGTCTGTGCAGCTGCGGTTCTGGGTTTGTGCTCCGTACTGGCAGTGTCTTGGTGGCACAGCGCGGTTGCGCGCTTGTGTGCGGGTCTGCATCTATGTCTGCGCATACGCTTGTTGCATTTGCTTGCACATGAGCCGCAACAAAAACCGTGCATGCTAAAGACCAAACCCACGCAAGCATCCATGTATCCACGGATCTGTACCTGTATTCGCTTTGGCTTTGTCAAACGGTGCACCGAACTCTGCCGGGTACAAGCGACCGTGGTCAAGGTTTTTGTCTTGCTGTGCTTGAGCCAAAAGAGGCTATTCCATGGCGGCTCATTCTCGATGAGACCGATGTTTGGAACAGGCTGCAACAAGGACGCGTGAGTCTGTGGCATGCCTGCTCAATCGGAAAGCTACGACGGCACAAGTATTAAAAGCTTCGTGCCTCTGCAGTCCGGCTTAAGGTATCGACAAGATCGAGGCGTGTGGGAGTTTGGGATTTAGGATGATTCCCTACGGTTCGGGCTGTCGTATCGTCGCGGTAAGGGTGCTCGCTGGTTCCGTTTCACCAACCCATCGACTGTTCCGGACAGTGGCAGCTCCACCAAGTTAAACAGACGCCCTCACACGGCCTTCAGGGAACTGACATGACCAGAGCCATAGCGCCGGCGTACCGAGAGAGGATCGACAGCTTGTAATCACCAGCTCAGTTGCAGTACGAAAAGACTCCCTCTCTCAACCCTGTGGACAAAGCGTGAACCAACGAGCCGTCACAAAGACCACAAGTGCATATTGATTCAACGAAAAGTCTGGGCTTCAGCCTAAAGAAGTCGACGTTGGCTTGAACTTACTTTCTCACGTGTTGCTGTAACTGTAGTCGTGTTGATGTCATATTTATGAAACGCAAGAACTATGCACCCTGAAACCTGATTGTAAACTGGCTACGGTGACGCCTTACGGATGCGGTTACGGGTTGCAGACGCCTGCTCAGCTGTAGCCTGCACCTGAAGCATGCAGCCCTGAAAACCTTAAAAGGCCCTAAATTCCGAACCGAAGTAATGCTCAAGGCAGCAATTGAAGGGCCCGAGTGCTGAAGCCACCGAGCCGTCACAAACGTCATGGGTGCGTCTCGATTCATCCACTGTCAGGTTTTGATGCCGCTATGCTTAAATGCTGAAAAACCTAAACACAAATAAACAACATTGCCAGAACTTGTCTTTACGTCGTTCCCACATAGAGAAGTGCAGCCTTAGTCTTAAGAGCGCTGCCATAAGATGAATTTCATAAACCGTACAAACCCGGAATGCTGCTTATCATGAAATGCTTGCGGGTATGCTTATACAAACTGCTGTTTGCGGACCTCTGACTCCTGCAGGAGGCATCTCAGGCTCACTGCACGAAGCTTGAGTCTGCCTAAAAATCGTAAGCTCGAAAACCCTTGTTAGTACCCTGACACTTCAAGAGTCTGTCTACTGTTTCTGAAATGCACGATTGGGCAGCATTGCGAAGGTTGGCTTTGCCTTCGCTGCATGTAAGTCTCTTGAAACAAGCACCCCAAATGATGGCGTGGAGCCGTAGAGCTGTGTACCTCCTGTACTTCGCACAGGATGCAGTGCAAACCCAATCACACGAAAGGCGCAGCTGCCTGTAATTTATGTGTATGCATAAGTACATGTCTAGATGTATGTATACTGTATGTATGTATGTATCTTTGTATGTACGCATGCAGACATGCACACGTTCATGTAAGTAAGCAGGTCTAAGCAATAAAAGTTATGATGAACAAGTATGTATGTATGTACGTGGGTGTAAGGGAAACCTTCATAAGACAAACCTTGCACGCAGCAGCTGCTGCACGGGAGGTTTGCGAACGTCGAAACACCTCGAGATCCGTACTATAAGGGCCTGAAAAATTAGAAGAGGGTTTGGGGGTACCTTATACTGGAAAGATTCGGGGCCCATAAGAGGATGCAAATCATTAATTAGACATCATTCTGACCCTCATAATACCGTTGAGTGTATCGCATGCTCTGCCACCTGGATTGCTGCAGCCACACCACACGAACAAGAATGACATGAAGGTGAACCTGCAAGGATGAAATAGTGGTACTGAGGGGATTGAGGGTGCAGTGATACTCACTCTTTCTACACCTCATGGGTAGTTATATGTAGGGTTATGCGCTTTTGGGACTTCCTACGGACTCAGCAATACATGCAGGCAGAGGACAGCATACGAATTGTGCCCAGCCGCAATCGAGACCGAGATTTCTTGTTCGCTACTAGACTCTAAGACACCACTGGGAATCGGTGAATCATGGCCTCCTACTTGGCGGTTGGTCACGACTCCACTTGCCAAGGAGGTTTTCGTGTCGGTGCAGCAACGACCTCGGCGCGACGATGAGGTGATGAAACTTTTGACGCTGGATGGCACCTGGAGGCATGCATGTTTAAAGCCGCTGTTTGATGCTTCGTAGTTCAACCGCGGCCTGCTGGGACATGTTGTTCCACAGTAAGGTCAAACTGCCGTCGTATGGCTGCAGCGCGGGCCGGTATGCACAACATGTGCCTAGTCTACTCCAGAACCATCCGAAAAGTAAGAGACTGCCAGCCAACTTCTGCAGGCATTAGGCCTGCCCACCTCTCGGACACAGACCTGAAGCCCCAAAGCAGTTATCGTACACCCTTTGTAGCTTCAATGTCCGCAGGAGCTCGTTCGCAGGCCCTCAAGCCAAAGAGATTTTATACAGACCCTCAGCGCCTGACCTTAAATAAGCCTTAAACCCTAAACTGCTGGACAAAAACCAAGGCGCCTTAGAAGAAGCAGAGGCAATAGCGCCATCGCTGCCGGGCCTGGAACTCTTGCTTGTCCGCTTCGGCACGAATTACAAAGGCGGGTCTTTAGGCTTACATGAGCTCTCGCATGCTGCATTCTCCGTCCTGTATCCACAAACACTGCTCAGCACAAACAAACCCAGAGCATTTATCCAACTCAGACTTCCATGTCTGAACGCAGGTAACATCGGGAACGGAGAATGGCGAGTGCAGATTGTTTGATGGAAACTGTTCGCTGGGGCCCCCTCCGAGGACTGCACGTTCGTGGTGAGCCCGTCGTCTGACGCCTCCGGACTCTTCGACACTCATGATGACTTTACGCATGGCCGTCGACAAGCATGGAAGTGAGACCTTCTGCAGGTGCCCGGGCCGTTCACCCAGGGATGTCCTGCGGGAAATTAGGAGCCCAAGCTCTGGCCAGGGCCTGCCACCACCCCGTTTCGCACTGAACCTGTTGCCAGGGCCCGAGGGGCCCTAGCCTTTAGGCGGCGGCCACCAACACGTGTTTATCTCCCTAGGAATGGGCTCAAGTCTCTACTCCATGTGCACGCTGCTACACGCTGACACAGTGCCGAATTGAGGCGAGGTGAGTGCGGCGTTTGCGGGGTCTGCGGGGTCTGCGGGGTCTGGTGCGATTGACAGCCCTCCTGTCTTTCTAAAGCCTTATAAGCTCGCTGTTAAGGCTGTTAAGGTTCATACCGTCAGATGGAGACACTTCGAAAACCGTGTGACTCACGTGTGACCTTTCGAAACCTGTCTTTCGAGCGTTGCTTTTGTAAACGGAGGGTGTTGTTGCCTTAGGCCTTGGTCACAGGAACCGTATGCCATCAAGAGAGAAGAAGATGAACCCTTGCCAAACCCGTCATTCGAGCATTGTGTTTGCAAGCGAGGAACTGCCCCCTGGATTTGTTTAAATGAGCCGAATTCATGTAAGGCATTGGGTTCACCTCCCAGCACAGAAACTGCCTGCTCAAAGTCGTGTTCGTTTTTTGTTTGCTTGAGCTGAAGAATGGGCAGCTTTTCAGCCAGAGACAGACTTCGGAGAATGCAGCATGCGAGAGCTCGTGTAAGCCTAAAGACCCGCCTTTGTAATTCGTGCCGAAGCGGGCAAGCAAGAATTCCAGGCCACGGCGCGCGGAAATCGATACCGTTACTGCATCTGCTTCCCTTGAGGTCAGGCGCTGAGGGTATAAAATCTCTTGGGCCTGAGGATCTGCGAACGAGCTCTTGCAGACATTGAACTGCAAAGGGTGTACGTACGATAGCTGCTGTGGTGGCTTCAGATCTATGTCCGAGATGTGGGTGGGCCTAATGCCTGCAGAACTTGGCTGGCAGGCTGCACGGGAGGTTTGCAGACGTCGAAACACCTCGAGATCCGTACTATAAGGGCCTGAATAATTAGAAGAGGGTCTGGGGGGACCTTTTACAGGAAAGATTCGGGGCCTATAAGAGGCTTTAAACATGCATGCATCCAGCTTGGGATGTATAAATGTTGGTGCACCTGCAGGTGTAGAAAGAGTGAGCATCACTGCACCCTCAACCCCTTCAGTACCATTGTGTACGAGTTCATCCTTGCAGGTTCACCTTTATGTTGCTTCTGTTCGTCATGTGTGGGATCACAGGGCGGCGCACATGTGGCTCCGATCGTGAGCACGACCTGGGCAAGGGCTTTGAGTTTTAGGGAAGCAGAGACATGCGCAGCTGGAGCTGGACTTGAGTTCAAACGCATATAAATCAGTGACCTTTGCGCCCTTCTGGTTATTCGAAAGTCCCAAACGGACGATGGGCTCCTATCAACTATCATAGTGTAAGGCAGAGGGCTAGCACCTGGGTAACCACGTTCAGGATGCGTGCAGTTGTGTGTGGCTGTGCCTGCGCAGTGCCGAACCACCAACAACCAACAATCACCAACCAACAATCACCAACCAAACCCGACCCCCCATCCCATCCACAGGGTGGGGTGGGGTCGGGTGGGGTTGGGTTTGTGGTTGTTGGTTGGTGATTGTTGGATGGTGATTGTTGGCTGGTGATTGTTGGTTATTGGTTGTTGGCTGTTGGTTGGTGGTTGGTGAATGGTGGTTGGTAGTTGTTGAAATAGGTGGTTGTTGGCTAGTTTGGTTGGTAGATATTGGTTTGTTGTTATTAGTTGGTGGTTCTTGGAAGCTAGTTGTTCTTGATTATTTTTGGATGGTGATTGATTGATAGATGTTGGTTGCTTAGCAGACCCCGCAGAAACCGCAGACCCCGCACACTCCGGAAACTTCCAGGCCCCGCACCAGACCCCGCAGACCCCGCAAACGCCGCACTCACCTTGCCTCAACAATCACCAACCACCAACAACCAACAATCACCAACCCGACCCCCCATCCCATCCACAGGGTGGGGTGAGGTGGGGTGGGGTGGGGCGGGGTGGGGTGGGTGGTTGTTGGTTGGTGATTATTGGACGGTGATTGTTGGCTGGTGATTGTTGGTTGTTGGTTGTTGGTTGGTGGTTGGTGGTTGGTGGTTGGTGGTTGGTGGTTGGTGGTTGGTGGTTGTTGAAACAGGTTGTTGTTGGTTGGCTTGGTTGGTGGATATTGGTTTGTCGTTATTGATTGGTGATTCTTGGATGCTAGTTGTCATTGATTGTTTTTGGATGGTGATTGATTGATGGAAGTTGGTTGGTTATTTTTAGTTGGTTATTATTGATTGGTAGTTATTGGTTGTTGATGATTGGTTAATAAGTGATATAGTAGGGTTGGCTATTACAGTCAAAGGTTGTCGTATATACACCAACACTGCTCTTTAACAAAATGTGATACCAGCTTGTAGGCTCTAGTCTATGTGTACAAATTTAAAATATGTTAACCAATACGATTCCCTACTCCTTGAAAAGCCATGGAATATGAAAATCTTACACTCACAGGTTATCCCATATAAACAAACAAACTTCACTGCAAACTAACAAAAAATGAACATATCAAAATCTTGCAATCAAACACTATCAGTTATAGAAAAACAAAAATAAATTTTACACTCACAGGCTATCCCATATAAACAAGCAAACTTCACTGCAAACTATACATACATGAGTACATCAAAATCTTGCAATCAAATACTATCAGATATACGAAAACAAAATTATTTCCCATTCATATAGTCGAATAACATGTTCTTGTCTGAAAAATTTAACATTCATATTAATATATTACCCCACTCCCGCCCAGCCCCACGACACGGTTTTCCAACCATGTCGGTCGTCGAACCAGATGAAACAATGTGAAACTGATGACCCAGACCTTCCAAAATAATACAGTTGAAAAAATATACCTGAAATTACAGTAGGACCTCTGCTACATTTCAAGCTCTATCTATATATTCATTATTTTGGAAGGAATACACAAGTTACATAAGTTCCACTAGCTTCTAAAAGGTAGATAACATACATACACCCTACCTTTCCCATGGTTCCTCCCACCTTATCCGACCCCACCGAAGGGTACGCCAGCCCTCCCTCCCACCCCAACGGCCTGTCTTCATCATCGCGGCCACCTGGGCACATGGTAATTTTTGGTTCCATTTTTTTTGCTTTTTGTTTTTCTTCTGGGGCCCACACTCTGACCAGAGTCATCACTCGCCCACGGAAGCGAATCCTCTGGTCAAAGCCTCAGAGGGGGGAGAGGGAGAAAAAGAAAGAGAGAGAGAGAGAGAGAGAGAGAGAGTGTAAGGCGAGGGCGGACGCCGTGCTTCCCAGATTTGCCGACACACACCGACACTTCGTGCGGTGTGTGCCGGGCATCTCTGGGGCCGGTGCGCCTGGGCAGGGCGAGAGAGCAGAGAGAGAGATGCTTTCTCGCATGTTTGGCAGTCCGGTATCTTTGGCATTTTGTTCAGCACGGGTTGTTCCATCTCACCTAGAGGCATGCAGAGATCGTGGCTGTACACAGCTAAGTCTCTTGAATGCAAACGGGCGCCGATCCAATGAAGAGGAGACCCTCTCTGGCTTCGGTAGAGTACTGAAGCTGAACATGTCATACAGACACTCAGGAGGCCGCTCTTCCACCAGTTTCCTGGCGATAGTTCATGGCCGTCGGAGTCGGAGAGCACGTGGATCTGCAAGTGTTGATGCGGAATAGCTGGGCTTACATCAGGAAGAGCACCATCATAGTTTGATTTAGTTGCACCATCCATGGCTTCAAGATCCTCCGAGGCGCAACACCGAATTTTTCGAAGGCACAAAACGTATGCTTGGTTGCACAGAAGTGCATCGCAAACTGACGAACTCATGACTCATGGGGGGCATGATCCGCAGCCCTCCCTTGATCACGTCGCGCGACCCACATCTTCAAGCTCCACTCAAAGATCTACACATGTGGGCACAGCTTCACAAGAGCTCACACAGGCTTCACTGGTTAAAGCCGATTCCATCCTGAGTCTTCTTACGTATCAACAGCAACTGTACCAAAAGATCTCCTGGACGCTCCTCCCGGCTGGACGGTAGGCTTAGGTGACACTCATTACAACTCTACGCGTGGCGTTGGACAGACTGACAGCAGGGAGCATAGGTGCCCACGGCATTGTTCAATAGCTACCTCCATGCGAACAGCCTCAAGTCCCAAGATCGAGCCTCCCAGGAAGGCAGGACGACGGCCTCTGTCAGAATCACGCATGAGGCAGAACTTACTTGAAGCAATAGCCGTGATGAGAAAGGTCCAGTAAGCATGAAAAAAGCGTTGCTTCTTATCTTTGCCTCCTTGAGTCAGCCTAACATGCCCACATGGTCTTCGCCCAGCCGAAACAAGTGAAAACTCAAATGGCTGGCTAGCCGGCCTGCTCTTCTTCTTGAGAACAACCTGACACACCAAGTACTAATCAATGAAAGGGGAGCAAACCGGAGAGCAGTTCACTGCACTGTGGCCATGCTTTTTTGCACAGACGTCAGCCAGCTGCTGCAAGCTCAATGAAATAAGACCTTACGTCCTCGAATCTCGGAGACTTCTTCAAGTCCTTCAGCTGTTGATGGGCCTCTGCAAAGGTTCGGCGGGGATTCTCATCAGCTTGCCAGAGGATAAGTAAGTCTCCCAGCACAATCTTGTGGACCGAAGTGGGTGCAGATTGCATGCCGCGCAAGACTTCCACCAAAAGAGACACCCACTTAAGCCTCTGAGGCTTCATCAATGAGCGTAGGACCATCCGGAGATGAAGCCTGCAACGATATATCTCGCCCCAAACGGCCTCGAGCTTCTGTCTTTCCGACGGCAGGTCTTTCAGGAGCTCCCCCAAACGATCCAGCATGAATTCGGAGATCTGGAGGTGCACCACCGGCCGGCCGCATGGACTGCGGTGGGAAAGTATGCGATGGGACGCGAGCCGTACAAACTCTTCTGCAGCACGGGTGCCCTCCAACAAATGGCCAATATTTCTGGAAACCACGCTGTTCACAGCACTTTCAGCAAAATGAGTCTTAGTTTTGTCGACCAGAGAAAGGCACCAAACTTGACCTCAAATGCAAAAAGCCACCGAGCGATCTTCAAGTGGGGGGGCTACTTACTATATCTTGAAGGCAACTCAAGGGACAAGCGGCTTACTGTGTTGACAGTTGTGTGCTATTAACCAGATCAAGAGGCAGAGGAACACCTTCAGCGTGTGGCGGGGAAACCATACTGGGGAGTCTGACCAAGTTCGCACCCGCATTATCGCGTTCCAATGCCCCAGGATCGAGCAGGGCCTATGCAGCACTTCAAGATGTGAAGAGGCGGTGCCCAGAGCATTCGAAGGAACATGAAGGAAGGAAACGTGCCTCTCAAAGCTTCCCAGCTCAGCCACGTGTTGTAGCAGAGCCTCGTTCCAATCTCGCTCCCACTGCACTCATGTACTGTCAGATCTATTCCCTTTCATGACTCCCCTGCCTCGGAGCTGCTGGTCTGCCGGGACGTCCGGCGCCAGCTCGTCATGTCCAAAACCTGCGGCCACGAACAAGAACAAAAAAACGCTTGTTCCGGCAAGGCTGCTTCGCTGATCAAATCTCAGAGACAAGGAGCATCGAGGTACGGGAGGAGGCCAGGCCTTGGAGCAGGGCGTCATCGTGACTCACAACCAGAACTTGCTCGAAGCTAGTAAGACCCAGTTGCAGAAGCAGGTTGCGGGGATCCCACTCTTCAAAACCAGCCTCGGGCAGGAGACGCTCAATGATCGCCAGCTTGCGGCTGAGCTGCAGCCAGTGCAATTGCTCACGAGAAGACTACCATCAAGGCCCAGAAGCATGCTCGCGCGGGACCGGTGTCGTGGCAGTCCGGCGACTGGTCCACACCAAGCTCATCCTCCGTGACTCCGTCTGCCGCGTCTCTCAGCTAAAGGTCGCACCCCGTCCTGGCCGTCTGTCTGGCAAGCCTTGTTGCAGGCTTCCTGGGTGGAGGCCGGCACGCATGCGGGCCTTACGGGCAAGCGTTGCAGCAAAGATCAGAATGGCCGCAGCCACGGGCTCATCAAGCTTCAGCTAGGTCGCTGGGTCTGGGAGGCAGGGCTTGCACCCTCATCCTCGGTGAGTCGTGGCATCTGCTGACCTGTACCCGGCTCCACTGCAGCAGAAAAAACCTACTGTGGAGCCAAGACACTCTTGGGGGCTTCACACCCTGAGCTTGGCACTTCCTGAGTCAATTCATGCTTCGAAGTTGCAACGGCTGCACATGCAGCTGCTTTCGGGTTTGAGCAGCACATTTGATTTAACTCTGGCAGCTAGCGGGAACCTGCCTGCACCCCAACACTGCAGCATGCCACCGCAGTCAACACTTTGCTCGGAAGCGAAAAGAATAAGAAACACGCGTAAAAGCCCTGATGTCAACGCAAGGCTGCAGCCAGGAATCTTGCGAGAAGCCGCTAAAGCAGTCTTGAGATCCTCAACAAGCTGGTTGAAAGACTGTGACTGTGCTGCTGTCAGACTGTCATCATCTGCGATCCCCGTCGCTGAGCGCAGTCAAGGCACTCTGCCGGACGGTCCTATTACAAAACATCAGGCTGAGTGCAGAAGGCGAAAGCAACACAAGTCCTTCACGTAGGCTGTAGCGGCTGTACTACCAGATGAATCTGGGTAGCAAGACATGTCCTGCAGGGGTGCTTTGAACATTGCTTCTCGCTGAGCGGTACGAGTCGAACACGCGGTCCTCCTCATAGACTGTGCTGCCAAGTGAGCTCGGTGACCAATCCTGTGTATTCCCTTGTCTAGGGGGATGAATGTTCATGTAGGATCCCTGCAATACTCTGCAGCCGTAGCGAAAATCCTGTCAACCTGCTGTTCTCGTATCAATCAGCATCGCAGAACCGAATGCTTCAATGATTGCGAAATCTTGGTGTTCTTCTGCGTGACGCGAGCTACCGCGAAAGAGATATGAGTCAAAACCACGTGCTGTACTGCCGAGCACACTTTTTTTACTGGTGCACACGTTGCTAGCCGCACTTCGCCCCATACTTTCAAGCTGAGATCGCGTGTTATCGCGGACAATGTGCCTGCAGAATGCTGGGGCACACCGACCCGCACAGCATTTTTTGCAACATTCACCATCGAGAGGATGAGGACCCTCTGATAAAACTCCTTCATGCGTGGATGTTTCCCAGACACCCCAGCCCCTTTTCATGTTCGCCTTGCCAAGACTCTTCACACAACTACTTAACGGCATCCTTTGCCAGCCTGGCTGAGGAGGCAGACGCGCGCTGGCTCTTACGATCAAGGTAAGCGCTGTGCGAGGAAAGCCTGTATGGAATTCAAAGCTGTGTTGCAGCAAAATCTGGGCCAGGAGGAGAAGAATGTCCGCGCGATTTAAAAATCACGGTGACCGTTCAGGGTTTGAAAATCCCTTGTAGGGTTTGTTGGGTCAGCGGTCCTCAGGGCAGCTTGTCCTGCCACAAGAAGGGTTTTGGCTCCAAGCTTGCCATGCCAGCCTCAGCACAATTGCCAGCTTCTCCATGAACTGCACAACGCTCTGCTCCCAACGGCTCACACCACTTGATTAGTTCTATCCCTTGAATTGATTCCTCGTGTCTGCAATGCACAACCTTAAAGTGACTCACTGGGGTGATGAAGAGTCTCTTTTTAGTCTTTCTTTTCCCTGACCTGCAGCTAAACCCTCACTGAGCTCAAGTTGCAGCGCCATCCAATGAGGAGCCTCTCTACAAGCACCCTTGAAAAGCCGAGGGTCTGTGCACTTTGGCCTCTCACATCATGGCCAACGCACGGAGCCACGCAGCCCGGCCAGTGGCTGGAGGACAATGGCAAAGGCTGCGCCAGCGACATGGCCACCGACGCAGCTCACCATGCAATCAATTAAGTGACTGCGCTGGAGACTTCGGACTCTCAAGTTTTGCCCCGTTCGCGAAACGTGACAAAAGCACTGAGTCCTGCCCAGCTGACGAAGGAAGCAGCTTGAGCCCTCGAGACTGAAAACATCCGCATACTGAAGCCTTGTCCGCTCTTCGCCGCCTCTGTTTGACGGCATGTTTACAGGAAGTGCCACATGTTCACACTAGGGCCTGCCCACATCGACTGTTCCTGTCTGAACTGCTCCCTGAGCCACAACCAGAAAGCCCGATGCCGAAATCCAGACCCTACAAAAGGAATCGCTCTCTGAGGCCCCCTCGCGCTTCAGAGACCTGCAGGCGAGCTCCCGACGAGAGCTTCTGTGCATTCTCCTTTTCCTGATCAGGCTTTGCCGGCGATGTGCACGTTGAAGGTTTCGGATGTTCGGTTCGTCTGCGCTTTCGACTAGTGTGGAGGGCGTCTTAGGGCTGTTGGCAAACCATGGCAAAGATGACCGAATTCGAGTCGCCTAGGCCAGCAAGCAGGTGTTGCTGACCCTTGCGAGGAAGGAAAATCGCCAACGGAAGCCCCAACACCACCATGCAGTAAGGTTTAGGGTATGGAGTCGGGATGGGCCAAGCCCCGGCAAAACAAGGCCTTCTGCTGGTACTCCTCATCTGTCAGCGTCTCCAACATGGCAGCAGCCTAACATCAACGGCCGTCAAATGGTGGCAGCCGTGTCGGATGAGAACTCTAGCAGACTCTAGCATGCTCCCATTTCAGATGCAAGACCGTCGTGTCGAGAGCCACATGCACTGCTTCCGTCTCGGCAACCCCACTTCGCCAAGCACACGGCTTGTTTGACATCTTCCATTCCAACCCGTGGGGCCGGTGCCTTCGATCGGATGTCGGCCCCAACATCTTTGGCCTCTTCCATGAAGCGGAAGTCTTTCCACTGCCTGATGACTCCGATTCAGGGGAGCCCAGAGGAGGCCCCAGTTCGGGCAGAAAACTGCAAGCGGCTGCTAGACATCGACTCTTATGACAATGGTTCGCCCAGCCGGCTCAAGCTGTTGGAAGTGTTGAGAAAGCTCAGAGAGGCACTGAATTCTCCACTGGTCTCTCCGTATGTCCTGAGCATGCGAATTGGAAAAGTCGCATGGGTTCTGACGGTCTGCTTCAAGCCTTGTGTAGTGACGCCGAATCATGACTTTCAGATGATGGGATTTCGGACCCCAGCCTGGATTGCCCGTTCACTGCCGCGCTCGAGGATGACCTCACAAGGGCAAGCATCACACACAGACAAGCGTCAGAAGGCTTCGAGGGCTTACACCCAACTCCTTATCTTCACCTCGTCGACTATGTCGACCTCCTACACTAAGCCACGGCGGTTCTGTACATCCTGGACCAGCCCAAAATCGCAGCCATACAGCCCCAGACATTCCCACAAGCACCTCCAGCAAAGACATCGTCTTGACGATGCGTCGCCACTCCTTTTCCTGCGTCTCCTGCCAGGGATGTTCAGCCGGTGGCCTTGGGTTCTGATCTAAGGAGCCGCAACGACCGAGAAACTTGTGCACTCAAATGCAGCTGAAACTACGGGAGCATGTCCTGAAGGATCTTCCAGATGAAGCTCATGACCATGTCACAGTCTTCCTCAGGCTGTTTGCGGCAGCATCGGCACGGACCAGAAGCGCAAGGCTGACGCGCTCCCAGGTCTCATGCTTGCAGCAAGGCAGATGCACGGTGCTGTTGAGGGCAACGGCGACCTGTGTGAAGATCCAGCGGCCTAAAATCGAGTCTCCCGCCATGATGGTGGTGGCCGTGGCTATGGCCTGATCTGTCTGTCTGTCTGCCTCTGTCTCCGTCTCAGTCTCAGTCTAGGTGTAGGTCTAGGTGTATAGGTATAGGTATAGGTATGGGTATGGGTGTAGCTACACATATAGGTGCAGGGTATAGGTGTATGCATATGTATAGGTATGGGTATATGTAGAATGTGTGTAGAACATGCACCAAAGGAAGAGCCAATGCGACAAAATGCAGCATCACTCGGAAATGAAAACAGCAGCAGATGCCTGCAATGTCGTGTTGGGCACGCCGCATTTCTCTGTCGATGTTGCCTGATGGCGACAATGCAGCGATACGAATACAGAAAAGGCCTCGCCATGGGAAAGGTGAAGAGTCATGCAGCGCAGTGAGTGAACCCCGAAACATCGTAATTTCGCGAGAAACCGATGCCACACAATTCCCAGCCCTTCCTCTTTGAGCTGGGTCTCCAGAGATTCTTCCTTCCTGGTCAGCAAATGCGTGTTTCTCGCAACTTTCAACATGTCTCGCAAACTTGCGACTCGGTTCTTTGCAACCGCCACAAACCGCCCTGGCTGCACAGCTCGCCACTCTACGATAACTGCGATGGACCGAAACCACGACAACTGCAACACCATCTCTGGACATGAACCTATTTCGCAGTCGAACCGGCATGCTGCGCCTCATGCTTCCCAAACCATTCTCCATCCGACCGAAAATGATCGCCACACCTTCACAAGAATTCACATCAGTGGGAAGGGCTGTGTGCTCATTGTTGGTGCAACAACCCGAAAAGTCGTGCGTACTATGATCCAACTACATATGCCGAACATCCAAAGCTTCACATGAGATTGACCGCAAGAAGCGGCACTAGCACCCGCAGGCAGCAAGGTGGAACGATCTGCGGTGATTGGGCGACAACACCACTGCTGGTCTGTTTTGCTCTGTCTGTGTGGCTGTGGTTATGGGTTTGTATGCTCTAATGGCTGTATGTGGCAATGTCTCGGTGGCACTGCGTTTTGGTGTTTGTGTTTGGGTCCACACTTGTGCCTGCGCATGTGCTTGTTGCATCTGCTTACACACGAGCCGCAACAAAGCAGCTCATTCTAATGACCAAATATTTTTTAATCGCATGGATCCTATTGCACACCGATCTAATTTTGTACCTGTGCTCGTTCTGGCTTCTTCAACCGGTTTGTCGTGCTGTGGTTGAGCCAAAACAGGTTCTGCCGCGGATTCTCGATTCTACAAAGTCTGGAAGGCTTACGTGGGTGGGATTAGGGCGAAGGAAGCAGCAAAACACGAAAAGAGTCACCTTCGTTTTGGTCTGCACAGCCCGATGTCACAGTTCGGATGAAAGATCTGCATCCCCTCCACATGGATAACAAATGGCTCTTTGACCGACCTCACTATGTTCTAGGGGTGGGTTGACTGGGACACTGAAAAGACGAACAGTCCCCTCCCAATTGATCCACAATGTGTCGGATGGAAAACAGTTCATTTGACATGTTGAAAAGCAGTCTCACGGCATCCGGTCACATCGGAGTCATGTGCATGCTGAATATGCTGAAAAAGAACGCTGAAAAGCTAATTTTTAAAGAAGGTAGGTGAGAACTGAAAATTTTCTGAAAAGGGAAAAACGGAAGATCTTTGAAAAGAAAATCCTTCATCAAAATCTTCATGCAAGTGAATCTCAAAATATCAAAGAATTCTCAAGCACATGCAACTGACATGACTGACATGGCTGACAGCAAACTGTGCAACTGCTCGAAACTGTGGACCACAACTGAGATCAGAGGGCGAACGAATGATACGTTTTTCCTTTCGCCCCCAACACCCCCTCACCCCCCAGGCCTCATTGGAACAATCTGCTTGGTCCGCTTCGCTACTCAAATAAGCTTGTACCGCGGAGTCTCGATTCTACAAAACCCGGAGGGCCGGAAGACTTATGTGGGTGATTAGGGCTGAAGAAGCAGCAAGACACGACAAGAGTCACGTTCGTTTTGGTTTGCACAGCCCGATGTCACAGTTCGGATGAAACTTCCATATAAAGCATTCGAGAGATCTGCATCCCCCTCCACATGGATAACAAATGGCTTTTTGACAGACCTCAATATATTCTAGGGGTGGGTTGAGTGGGACACCCAAAAGACTAACAGTCCCCTCCCAATTGATCCACAGTGTATCGGATGGAAGATAGATCATTTGACATGTTGAAAAGCAGTCTCACAGCATCCCGTCACATGGAGTCATGCGCACGCTGAATATGCTGAAAGAGAAAGTTGAAAACGGCAAGACAAGGTGCAATGCAACCCCTTTTTGTCTTGAGCCAAATACGTCGACCAAGTCAGCAATTAGCTACACTTAACATGGCCTTCACATATGTACCTAGAGTGGCACTGGGAAGCGTGTTTCAAAATCTGCCCCCTTAAGTGAGTCTAAGTGGGTGACTTTATTCGCATTATAAATCACAAACGCACAATCACAGAGCTCACACTCTTTTTTAACATGGCAGTTCCCGGAGTTCAAGCGACATGTCAAGCGATAGCTATGCAACCAAGAGCATGGCACGGCACAGGTAGCTTCGTGTTTGCCTGCATACTATACAGGGAGTGGAGGGTGGCAGAAAAATTATTTGGATCACTGATCCGGCTCAAGCCGAAAGCTGCACGGCAAACTTTGTCTAGTGTTCACAACACACAGAGAAAACACTGCTTTCCTTTTCGACAAACTTTGTCTACACTTTCGGCGGGAAATAAAACTCATTCGCGCACGCACGATGGATGCTTATTTCCCAACGAAACTTTCGTTGGCACTAGTTGCGGACAACCCTTAACTGTGCAGTCGCTCTCTTTTTTCCTCCTAGGGGTCATGTGGGGGGTGAGTGCGGGCCCGATCTTCGGGCAACTCACAAAAGCAGATAAGCCACTGGCTTTTGCATCTACGCCGACCACTGGTCGGAGAGGTAAGGCGAACGACTCGTCCACCCCCCTTCAAGCCACTCGAAGCCTTACGCACCCCCCTTTCAGACCGCGCAGAGTGACAGCACCGAACGCGCTGCGTCGGGCAGGTGGTAACGCACTGCGCTTAGCCCGCTGTATGTTCCCAGTAGTCTCTGGGGCTGCCTTGCTAAGGCAGTTTTCCACTGTAACATTACTCACTGTAGCAGCCTCATAACGGCAGGTACTGACTGCGCTCAGCCTAAGCTGTTTTATCCCAGACTCTGGGGCTGCCTTCCTAAAGGACAAAAAAAAACACCGCAGCGACCGCAAAGTGGCAGGCGGTAACGCACTGCGCTTCGCCTGCAGCGTGTTCCCAGTACTCTCTGGGGCTGCCTTACTAAGGCAATATTTCTCTGTAGGAATTATCAGTTTGCAGGTATTAATGCACTGCGCTTATCCTGCTGTGTTTAATCCCAGTATAGTCTCTGTTGACTTCTGCGTACACTGACGCCTTTCTTGTCTGAGCCCGAGGGTTTGCGCAGATATGTTATCTGCAGGGATACATGCAGGGTTGAGCTATGCCGGAGCCACTGGCTCTGTTTCACTTGAAACAAAAATAAGCTTCCTTGAAGCGTGGCACCCTGGATGGGGGCCACTCGCAGCAGACACTGTCTGCGAAGCTGTCTGTGTACGTCCGCACTGTATGTGCGCTCGCGTGTTGCAAGGTACTAGGCGGGAAAAAGAAGCGATGCGAGAGCCACTGGCTTTGTTTCACTTGACACAAAACTAAGCTTCATTAAAGCGTGGCACCGTGGATGGAGGCCGCTCGCAGCAGACAGCTGTCTGCGAAGCTGTCTGTGCGCGTCTGCATTGTATGTGCGCGCCCGCGTTGCAAGTACTTGGCGGGCAAAAGGAACATCTTTGGAGACCAGACTACAGGGTCGCCTCTGTTTTACTGCAAACAAAACTACGCTTCACTGAAGCGTGCCGCGGTGGATGGAGGCTGCTCCCAGCAGACACTGTCTGCGACACTGTCGGTGTGCTTGGCGGGAAAAGGCAACATCTTTGGAGCCCAGACTCCGGTCTCAATGGAAGACTCTTCCTAACAATCGCCATGTTCGCGTCACTGACGCGGTCTACGCGCCTGCCACAGCACAAACGAAAGCAAATGTCCCCTAGAACCAACTTACTCCGCACTGCGGGCCCGAGCCCCAGCACCAGCCTTCTCGATCCAGGTGGCCAGCGAGATGACAGAGGCCAAGGACCCTTGCCTCCTCTCGGTGGGCTGTGAGGTCTTGGACCTTCAAGGCGTGAAGTGAGTTGTCCTGCAAAATCCAAAAGGCCATTTTTTGGCGTGGGCGGGCCTCAAAGACAGCAGTTGCTGCACTCGGTCCCAGTAAGAACTACAAGAAAACAAACAAAAACTGTACAAGAGAATCACGTAAGGGTGAAACCGGCCGCGACTTGCAGACTTAGCCAGCAGGGATCGTTCGGCCTATTTAAGCGCAGCTTCACTCAGGTGTTGTACTGCCAGGACGAAGCCGTTAATGCACAAGCATCCACAATGCAGCATGTTCCAGTGGCAAATGTGGCAGAAAGCAAGATGGCCCAGCTTCCCAGTATCGTGGGTCTCGCAAGGGCAAGAAAAAACACACAAAGCATTCTGCTGCAATGTACCAGCCGTGCCAAGCCATCGGCTGTGTGCTCGCACCTTAACGCGGGAATAAGGTCTACGGGGCCCGCCACGCAGTTGCCCAGGAGAGCAAACATGCTGAAAGGTAATGCATTGAATTGATGTCGCCCAATGAGCGCACCTACCACCAGCCAGCGCCACAAGCATGTTGATCCATGCCCAGCTTCCCAGCATGTTGGGTCTCGCAAGGGGCAGCACAATAAGAGCGCAATGCAACTAACAGTGCAGCAGGGTAAAGCCATGTTGGCTAACCAGCCAGATCCTGGTTATGCATGTGCATATGCCCAGCTTCCCATGTGTGGGTATCGCAAGGGCAGAGGCTGATGGCGGATGCGCACAGAGCAAACACCCCCAAGGATGAGGAGGTCCCAATACGCAAAATCGCCCACACCCAGCTTCCCACCAGGGTGGGTCTCGCAAGGGCCAGGGCTAATCGGAGAGTGAAGTTTCCATGTCGAGTGGGTCGCAAACCTGCAGCGGTGGTAGCAGAGGGAGATCGCCCATCGGCTCCATGGAGAAGTAGGGCAGTCCCCGCAGCGCAGGCCATGCCAACGCCCAGGGCTGCGTGTCAATAAGTGCAGACTGGATGGCCGCAGCGCGGAAGAAGTCCGAGCCCTCGTAAAGGTCTCTCTGATCTGGAGAAGAGGATTTCCGCTCTGACTGGTAATGGCCGCGCTTTCTGAATCTCATGGGGCAGGTCTTGCAGGACCTCTCTAGACATCACCTTCAGTTGATCTTTGGTGCCCCGCCAACGTACGCTGTCGGACACCTGCTATCCATGACGGACCCGCACGAACGACGGGCAGCTGAGGTGGCCCTGCAGCGGCAGCAGGCTGGTGATCAAGAGTTTCTGCCTCCCTAGCGCCTGCAGCGCACTTTCAGGCGAGTGGGGCAGAGACGAGCTTTCGGATGGTAGTTCGACTCAAATCTTAGGTGCGAGTTGGGATTTTGCAAGTCGCGGTTGGCCGCAGGGCAGGGTCGCGCCGGTAGGTGTTGTCGTGTGTTGCCCCCCGGTGATGGCACAGGTGCAGTTCAAGCCAAACCTGCTGATGTAGTCCAGGTCAGATGCCTTTCTTACCTTGTGTTCCTTGCTTTACAAGTGTGAGTTTCTTGCAGCTCCTGCCCAAGCGCAGCACCATGGGGAAGAGTAAACCAGGAAAGGGGCAAAATGCCCCCTTTAGGTACCAGCGGCTCCTTACAACAGAAGAAGAGAGGGCAAAGAGTCCATCAGTAGTGCTAGGTTCGCAAGGCAAACGAAGCACTCGGGGCCTCAGCGCACGAACCCAAGCTCCAGCACCAACTTTTCTAGGTCTGTTGAGGCCCCTACCCAACGAAAGCCCAAGAAAGGCTCCAACTTTCCCGCACTCCTCCTCCTCCCCGACCAAGAGGCTTAGGCCGGAACAAAGACAGGGAACTGCCTCAAAGGCTCCGCTGAGAAGAGCTAGTGCTTCCACCACACAGGTTGAGAAGATCACCTGTTATTTCCGGTTCCGCTCAGGCTTCCAAGAAAGCCGTTACTGTTGCAAAACCACAGGTTGAAAAGTCCTCGGCCGTCGCTTCATCAACAAAGACCGAGGACGTGGACACTACCTTTCCCTCCGGCAAGGAAGCTACAACAGTAGATGGCAAGGTACAGACCACTTCACAGGTCGAGAAGCCTTCGCACTTCAAGTTCCAGCAGCAAACTGCCACGCAAAGCCAAGAGAGGTTGGAAGGTCCACCCTGCAGCAGACAGGGCAAGATGCGTTCCCAGAATTTCATCTGGAGTTGCTACCCAAGGAAGTTCTCAGAACGCCCAAGTCACTCCTCTCGGAGGCTCTTCTTAGATCATGCGCGCGCTAGAACGGAGCACTTGGAAAGAGTGTCCCGCGACTCAAATCCTCTTCTCGGAGGCTCAGCTTGCAGGGCTCTTGTGAGAACGTGACTATGCAGTGGGAGTGTCAGAGGCCTTGCAGGCTTCGCATTCTGAATGTAGTTTGCCTGGCCAGATTGAGACTCTTGCTCTTCTGATAGGCCGCTGACCTGTCGCCTCATGCGCGGTGCTCCGCGCTGAACTGGCCTCCGGCTTGCAGGCGAACCTGGGCGCCGCGGCCATTTCGTTGGAAGGGACCCGCCCTTGGCCCCATTCGGCTTTCGGCGGCATACGTGTCCTGGATGTTTAACGCGCTCGGAAGAGTGATAAGCCGCACGTCTAAGCATCTCTTTCACCACTGTGTTGCCGCAGCATTTGGGCTGAGTCGGAAAAGACTCCAAAGTGCAGGACCGCAACCCTGGCAAGCACGTCTGCCCTCGCATTCTCATTTGCCTGGAAGTTCATGAACGGCTCCCCTTGGTTCTAGCCAATGATGAATGCCATCAGCTTATGGTTGAAATGCTCTTTTGAGCCCTCTCGCCCTCAGGTAGCAGCCGGGCCCTCAGCCATGGACTTTCCACAGCCTGATCTTGCCGTATCAGTGGCGTTGGCCAGGCCTCCTAGATGCCTTGCCACTTCCAGGTTTTATGGGACAGCCCAACAGCCCTTGCCTTCAGGACCTTTTGCTGTCAGGTACAGTCGGGCCGCGCATCTTGTTGTTTGCAGGTGGGCCTTCCTGGTTGCCTTTAGCCTTGCTTTCTCAGGAGACGCATGAATATCTCGTCTCGCATTTGGACATTACTGACGAGCTGTTTCCCAGGTCTGCTGCCTGCGCCCCCGAGCCTTCGGGCTCTGCCTGGCTCGGGCCCCGGCCTGCGGAGCCGGACTCTGAGCTTTCACCGGGAGCCTCCCGGCTTCAGCTCAGCCAGCCTTTGCTCAGCCGGCAGCTTCGCCCCAACCACAGCCTGCTTTTCTGCCTTTGGGGGGAGGTTACCAAAGCTACCACTTTCTCCCCCCACGGCCCACATATTTCGAGCCCTTTCCCCTCAGGCCTCAGATGCAGCCAGCCAGGGGTCCGGCAGTGTATAGCTAGCCCCTGACAGCCCACCACCCTCCACCAGGTCGAGTTCACAGAATTCAAGTCTTGACTCAGCCGTGCCAGGATTGCGGTATCGCCATCCGCTGCCTTGGAGCCCTTTTAAGGTTCCTCTCTTCAGCCGCCTCTCTACAAGGTGCTTTGGTTCCCTACCAAGGACCTGCGTGGGCCTTTTCTTGGCTGGAGCCTTGAAGGCCTTCTCTTCGGAGTTGCACCTTGTGCCAATATTCTTCTGTTTGTCAGCTCTCGCCAGGAAGTTGTTGCCTTGTGCCTTCTGAATAAGGCATGCCATGATTATGTAGCGGAACGCATATCCAAGGCCCGAGGATGATACTGCCCTGTTGACTTACATCCCGGGCCCTCAGCCGGTTGGTCCTTTGCGAGTACAGCACATGGGAGCCTACGCCTTGCTCTCTCTCAGGCATCTTCACCGTGCCGGCCGTTGCAGCCTCAGCCAGCACAAGCCTACCCGCAAGCCAGTTAAGCCCAGCCGGTTCCTTAAGCCGTCCATGAGCCCTTTCCTGCAGCTGGCTCTTCTCCTGCGTGCTGCCCCCCCAGGTTTCTTCGAACCCCGGCCAGCACCTCAGCCTCCCAAGCCGATTCTGGCCTGCGCCAAGATGCTAGTCAGAGCAGGTCTTCGTTGTCCTTCATGCTTTCAAATCAAACAACCCTTTCTGCCTTCAGGTCATCAGCCCCCGGCCCCGCCCTCTGCATCACCTGCCTTCAGTTCTTCTTCCTTTGACGGTCAGCCCGATTCAGCAGATTTTTCAGGATCGACTTGACCTGCGACTTGCCCTCTGTCCGGGCCTTGCCTGCCTTGCAAGCAGTCAGCCGCAGCTTGCCTATATAGCTCTTTCGGCTGAGAAATCATGAGGGGGCATCAGCAGCCCCGCCGCCAGGATCAGCGCGCACAGCGCTCCGCCTGGCCTTCCTATGCCAATAGCCCTGCCCTCCAATGGAATCAGGGCCAGCCGACTGCCAATATGTCCAACCTCGCGGGCCTGTCGGGTCCCCTAGCCTTCGACCCTGATACCAGCTCTGCCTATGATGCTCTGCAGCCACAGCCTTCTACCCAGGACTTCAGCCAGGAGCCTACTGACGAGCCGACAGTGCAGTCCCTTGCCGAACGCCTTAGATCTTTGGAAGCTCGCATCGGTATCTTGGAAGCCGACCGACGTGGCGCGCAGCAAGCCTTGTGGCACCATAGCCGTCCAGCCCATGAACAGCCGCGCCTTCGATGCCTTCTTTCGCCCTGGGTCTTTATCAGTGCCAAGATAGACGCCGTTAGGATCCGCTTGGACCAGACTTACGACTTACGCCAGGGTAGCCGGGCTGCTCTTGACACTTCAGCAAGCCTTCCCTACGATAGCCGTCTACTTTACAGAGGCAGCCGTTGACGCCTGCCAGTATCAGGGACCCTCAGCCTTGTTGGACTCCGAAGGAGATCCAGAAGCGTAGCCTTCCGCATCCAGCCTTGCATGCCTGCCAAAAGACCCCTGCAGCATATGAGTTGGCCTTTCCATGAAGATTTCACCATGCTATCCCTGCTCAGGTCCAGCCTTCTTCAGGCCTTCACAAGCACTTGCTGCTCTCCATGCCCTGGGCCAGGTTACATGCCCTACAGCCGGTGGAAGTTACAGGACCCGTGTGTGCAATAGCCTCACGTAGCAGTCTTTCTTTCTGCGCGACAATGCACACCCCCAGAGCATTTTCGTTCACAGCGCCTATGGGAGCTTCAGCGTCATCCTCAGCCATGGCGTCCGACCACGATGCCTTCTCAGATTGGCTGAAGACCTTGGCCCCAGAGGAGTTAGCCAAGCTCAAAGCCTTGCATTCCGCCTCGGCGCAGACGGCAGCCGACACAGCTGTACAGGATGATGCTCGGCCTTGCGATAGTTCTTCCAGCCTATCCCCACGTAGCCTTCTTGTCTACCAGAACCAGGAAGCCTTCTATCACGCCCAAGACGGATGTTACACAGGCCCTATTCCAGCTTGTTTTGACTCCCGCCTCAGGATGTGGAAGACCCTGATGATGCCGACACGGCCCAGCCTTCCCAGGCCGAAGCGGCTCAGCCTTCCCAGCCTTCTGTACCTGCAGCCGACGCCGAAGCAGCTGCAGTCACAGAGCAGCCCATTGAAGCCGAAGGAGAGTACCTCCCTATGGAGGAGCCTTCTTCCTCTACAGCCTTTCATGCCACACCACAGGCAGGCCTTTATTCTATGATGGGGCAGCCAACAATGGACATGACATCCTTCATCACAGCAGCCACACACCAGCAGCCTTTTCCTCTGCTAGACCTTGTCCCGAGGCCCAGTCCAAGCCGATCAACCGCCATGAGCTCTGGCAGCTCATCAAGCGCCCCGACTTGGGGGTGGCCAGGAATTCCGGAGCCTACTTGACGGCGGACAAGTTTCCGCTCAGCCCTCCGGCCAGCTTTTTCCCGTCCTACCCCAATGCACCGCCCAGCCAGCCGGACAATTCCCCCATGCCCCACGCCAAAGCCGAGCCTGCGCCGGTTAAGGCCATGCCTTCTGCGCAGCAAACCTTCTTGCCCGACTTAGCCAAGGCCCAAGTTCCGACCAGGCCCCGCACTCAGCCTTGCATGGCCAAACAAGGGAAGGGGTCTTCTTCAAGCCCGAGTTCCTTGCACCCGATCACAAGCCAAGGTACCCCGGACCTTACCGGCCACCCAAGCCTTTTGGACTAGCCGTGATCTAGACTCCCACACATGGATCAACTTCCATGGCGGGAAGCCTCCAAACACAGCCGTGGAGATTGACGTCAAGTCCCACTTTTACACGGTCGAGCCAGGACCCAATAAGGATCAGCCTTTCCAGCGGAGTCCTGGCCAGAAGTCCTCCGGCGCTGTGGGTAACCCCCGCAATATGGAGAAGCAGTCGGTCCCTGCCCTTTGCCTTTAGAACTTAAAAGGCCTTTCCAAGCCTTTGGTCAACAAGCGGAAGAATCTTGTGGTGGACCCGCCTGAAAAGACTTGCCACCAGTACAAGCTGCCGGCTATGGCCCTGCCAAGATTGCCTTGCCCTAACATGCGCAACTGCATTATCATCCCCAGCCTTACTCTGCCGCATACCTTTGAGCTGGACCCAGTCTTTGCCAGGGTTTATCATATGGGCAGCGTGGTAAGATGCGTTGCGGCCTTCCCTGCTCGACCGTGCCTTTCTGTCCTTACCATTCAGCCTGTGGTCGCAAACACAACAAAGGTACCGTTGAGCATAAGAACAAGCACTCCGGCCATCAATATTTGCGCTGTAAAGAATTTACAGACCTTGGCCGTAGCCCTTTTAAATGGTTTCTTTTGGCTTGACTGGGCCTCGTCGACTACGGCTGTAGCACTCGGTCCCTACAAACAAGCGAAACTACAATCCAAGCATCAAACTACAACAAAGCGGTGAAACAGCAAAGCGAAGCTCTACAAAGGGCTGCGGCGCACAGGCTTTGCCGGTGTTAGCCGTTCAGCACAAACTACGGAGCCTCAGCGACCGGACAGGAGCAACAAAGAGCCGTCGCTCAGAGCTGCCCAAAACAACAGGTGGGGCCAAGTCCAGGCTCCCGTTGCCGTTCTACTCTCGCCAGACAACGGACAACCCCTGTGTTTTGTTCCGTCACGATGTGCACACCAAAATCCAAAAGTCCAAGGCCCACTGCATGCGTGGGCGGCTTCCAGATAATAGGAGTGCGAAGACCAGTGCCGCAAGCAAGCAACCCGCTCATGCAACCGCCGTCATTGGACACACACCCCAAGGGGACAAACCCAGTCGACCCTCGGCGTGCCAAGCGCCTAGACGCCGCTCTGATGCGACACTGGCAACCTGCGTGGGCCACACCCTCACGGTCATACTGCCGGCGTCCTGCCAGTGACAAAGTTGCTCGACCACGACACGCTAGCGCGCATGGCCGCCGCCGCCAGCAGAATCAAATCAATGTCCCTAGCCGTGAGCTGGAACACTGGGTCAGCCGCTAAGACAGGCAGAGATCGCCAAGGCGGACATTGACGTGCAGATCACACGCTTCCACAGCATCGTCAAACCGTTGTGGCGGCCATGGCAGCAATTGAAGACACCATTCGGAGGTGGGAACTAACACGATGGACAGGTGAAGGGGCGGCGACGTATGTCGCAGGCAGGCGGCGAAGCTTAGGGGCACACGGCACGCATGTGGCTGAAGGCGCGTGAGTGCAAACCGGCAGGAGCAGGACGTTGCGATGCGTTACTGTCCGCAGTACGGAATGGGGCGTCATCCAAGCCCCAGTGACGTGAACACCGAGCCCGCCAGCAACCACAGGCAAGCCCACAGCCTAGCCGTGCCTTTCCCGGCGCCCTCAGGGATGAAGGCCTCACACGGGCAGCGTCGTGCAGGGGGTGGCGTTCTCCGCTCGTGGACCATCAGAACGGAACTGCACCCACGCCCAGCGGATCCGCCCCCCCTCAAGAAGGACACAGTTGACCCCACGTAGTGCAGCCAGGACCTAGGCGAACGTGACAACGACGGTTCGATGTCCGCCGAGGAGATCAATCCAACGGCCTGGGCCACGTAAGCCGTGGCCCAAACTACGAAGCCTCAGCAGCCCCTGTGTATCGTCCCGTCTCGAACGTGCACACCAGAGCCCAGGTCCCAGCTCAAGGTGATGGTGCATCAACTTGGTATCGAGGGCATGAGTGACATGGAGGGTGAAAATAAACTCAACGACGTATGTCGTCGGTCGCAACGGCTTCCACAGGGGGAAAGCGATCACAGACAGAGATGAACCGCCTAACCCCATTTGTTCCGTCACAACCAGGGCACCCAGATCCAAAATTCCAAAGCCCACTGGCAAGCGTGGCCGGCTTCCGAACAGGGGGTGCATCGACATGGTGGCGAGGGCCTGCCTGCCCACGCAGTTTGAGCCCGACCTCGGCTAAGCAACGCTGAAGCCGTGTAAAACCCAATTGCCGCTTGCTCGAGAGAGAGAAACAGACGCAACGACGTATGTCGTCGGTCACAATAGCGGCTGATGAAGACAGACTGTCAACTAGAAGAGCCAGCCGCCGTTGAGCGCGGCCAGCTGTCGAGTAGGCGCTGCATGTCACGACCGCTCGAAGGAAAATGACGCTACTTTACGAGGTTAGCTATCTGTTTACAAACAAATGTAAAGGGTTAAGTTGGTTTAGCTATAGGGGTTAGCATAGCTTAGAAAAGGGGGTTAGTCTAAGTAACATAAAGGGGTCCCTTATACGTCTAAACCTTCCAAGCCCTGAACATAAAAGCCTCAAGCCCTAAACCCGAACCCTGCAAAACAGAAGTCTTTTTTTGCATGCCGGTCGTTCACGGTCTTCCGGCTAGAGAAACTCGTTTAAGGCCGTAGCCTGAGAACGGCTGCATTTCAGCAGATATATAATATACATGGGAGGCCGTAGCCTTCTGCATCCCATTCTGCATGCCTGCAGCAAAAGGGGCCGTAGCCTGGAAGAAAGCTTGCTTTCAGCTTGCTGAGTTTTCAGACTCCTCTTCCTCATGCTCCTCTTCCTCAGCCACTTCCTGCTGGGAATTCCAGTTGTCTTCATACTCTGGAGAGGACTGCTCGGTCACGGTAGGGAGAGCATGCTCGTCCCCGGACTCCACGATATTCATATATTCGTACTCCCTCCATGCCCTTCTGTAGTTGCTGCGACGGACATCCCTCTCGTTGTACCACTTGATTGTGCATTTTGCACACCAGTGGTTCTGGTGTGCATTTTTCACTCTGCAGCAACTGGGGGCACCGCATTCCGTGCATGGTCCTGCACACGGGTCCATCCTCAAACGGCGGCTGCAGGCTCCTCCCATTTCACAGGCCTTGGCCCACAGAAACTGCACGTGTGCAGGAGCTTATAAGGATGGCCGTGGCCGCGACGCACTCGCAGTCTACTTTTTCTATCACAGCACTTGAGCCACATGGCGACAGCAGGTCGCATATATATACTGTATGAAAAAGCACCATGTCATGCATGCCCTTCTTCTTCAGGACGCAGCGAACGAGTCGTCGCCTAGCTAGCTAAGGCAGAATCTCATGGTGAGATTCCGGCGCCTCTGTGGGCGCGCACGTTTTGTGCCCCCTCGAGTCACACGTAGTCACGAATGACAGTACGTGTGCTTTGTACAACTATGTCGTCATTCAAAGCGTGCTCACAATGGCAGGTGAGGCCTCAGTCCAATCGTATTGCCCATATCAGATAGGCTTTGCGACTGAGCTCAACAGAGTCTGGAAGAGAGAGGGGCACAGCTGCACGATTGTCGTCATGCAACCAGACTCGCACTGGATTTTGACCCCATCGCGTCAGACAGCGGTAATGCCCCTGGTGCAAGGCAGGACCGTAGTGGAGAGCCATGGCACACACCTGATAGGGTTGCCAGTGCTTCTGAAGGTCATGTGACGTCGCAAATTGCGGAATGCGTAGCACTTCAGACCAGTCCGGGAGAGCCTGATCATCCTTGCTGAGAATGCCCCTTTCATCATCACGCCTGTAGCGCGACAGGTGGAGGCAAAGGAGATGAGGCAAGGTTCCCTCGAAGGCGGTATGATAATGCTGGGCAGACCACTCTTGTACGCAATGCTGAAGCCCCCGTGCCTCCAGGGGCAGGTCAACAGTGACCGGGAGCAATGCACTGGAAGATGCACAGACCACAGTGCCTGTGTCCTCCACTCTGCGAGTTTGCCACAGACCGCTGAAGGCCTCCAATCGGACTCTCGGCATGAGGTGAAGCAGGAATTCGTGCATGTCATGCTGTTGATTGGGCCTGGCCCAGTTCCCCAGCAGCATGGTCCAACACATGTTGCGCATCAATCGAAGGTCCGACCTCGCAGTCAAGCACTGATACAAGCTGCACAATGAACCAGATCGAGCGGGATCATAGCAGCCGAGTGCCCAAAGCAGGGCAATAAAAGCTGTGTTCATGTAGCAGGCAGTGCCATCTGCATTGTGGAGGACTGCATGAAGCAATGGCTGAAAGTGCAAGGGGACTTCTGAGGGCACAAATGAGGGCGAGGAGCAGGCAGTATCTAAGGGCAGATCCCGGGACACTCTGAGAAAACGACGTATACCGGAAGAGGCTGAGGTCGAGGCCAATGGAGTGGTTGGTGTCACCAGCCTCCGACTGCCTGTTGGATTTGGGCCGCAAGGCCTGACAGGCCGGGGCGGTCCTTCCGCAGGCGCGCTCCGAGAGGGTGGAGGCAACTCTGATTGAGCAGCATCTGGAAGATTTCCCACATGCGGTCCCCCTGTGGTCGAAACCCGAGCTCCAGCTGAAAGTGGATCCATTCGGACTGGGGTTCCTGTGGAAGTCCGCGAAGGGACGCGAATTTCTTCACAGAGTCTGGATTCACAAGGGTGCGAAGCTCTCGGAGGAGTTCGAGGAGGGTCTCGGTGGCAAGTGGACTCGGAGTGGCTTGAAGTTCGAGCTGTCCTTTTTGTGCATTCCACTGCATGTAAGTCCAGCCCTCCTCCTCCTTGTACCACTTCATGTCGATGGCCGTCTGCTTCTCCTTGCTGATGGTGAGCTTGATCCGGGTCTCCATCTCCTGCAAGGTGGCTCGGAGGAGGAGAGTGCGCAGCGGACTGTTGATCTTCCCCGGTTCGTCGCGACGAAGGCGGCTCCATTCCTTTGCAATCTCGCATAGATTGGGAAGAAAGGATTCCTTCCCACTGCGGAGATAGAGATGCAGCTTGCAGTCCTGTTGGATGCTCTGCAGCTGCTGCTCGTGGCGGAGAAGGAGGCGGGCCATTGTGGCCGCTGGACCAAGACTGGTCCGAGCTCCAGTGATCGTTCCACGACTGCTGGGCAGCTGGGCGTGATTTGCCCCCCTTGCCCTGTCCTTTGCCCTTGGGCTGCTTGCCCTTCCCTTTGCCCTTGGGTTCCGAGCTCGTGCTGGCGAACGTCATGGTCGACGCTGAGGCCTGGGAGCCGGACGAGTGGTTCAGGAATAGGGCTTGTTGTGCCTCCGGCTCCTCCCCCCGTGAGCCGCGTCCATTCCCGCCGGCGGTGTCATGAAGTTCTGGAAGAGGCCCAATTCGCATTGATCCTCCACTGACATTGGCAGGAGGGAGTGAGTGAACCGGTTGGTCCAGTGCGGTGGAGGCTATAGCAGGGAGGGCGTCGTCCAGCCAACACTCTAGGAAGCTGAGTAGGGTGATCATGTAACACTGCTTCCAGTGATGTTGAAGATCAATGCGGGATTCCTGGCAGTATAGACATGGTTTACACAGACTGCGGCGTAGAACTTGAGCCTTCGCCTGTGCAGCCGGGCGGAGAGCTTTCCATTCCGGGTGCGACTGCTGCAAATGCACTTTGAGCCCCGAAGGAGAGGCAGCCCACTGAGAGCACAGCGGGCAGTGGTGCTTCAGTGAGCTCCTGAGATCTGGCCTCGAGAGTAGCGCCTGCCATCCATGACTTCGCAGCTGTGTTGGAAAGGCCGGGGTATAAGCTAGCGACTGCGAGACAGGCAGAGGGCGAATAGACGACGTATCCTCAGCAGCCGCAGTGGTGGCGGCAGCTGCATGCTCGCCCGGAGGAGCAGAAGAGAGAGCCAGGTCCGGACAAGGGTGCGCAGCAAGGCACTGTTCCGAAAGGGGTGGTTCCAGGCCTGGCGTGGACGTAGTAGCTGCGGTGGTGCCGGCCTCCGTGTGCACAGGGACAATGTCAGCGGATGTATGAGACAGCAATGGGTGGGTCGCAGTGTTCGGAGGCACAGTAGTAATGGGCTCAGGCTCTGGCAAGGCTGAGAAGGACAGGCATCTGCAGTGTCCCTTGTCTATATGGCAGCGAAGACGAAGACCACTCCAACGAGAGAAGCGGTGCCCGCAGAGACGACAGGTCGGCATCCCACTAACTGAGTGTTGGTCGCGGTTGAAGCGGCCTGGACGCTCCCGATCTTTGGCCTTACTTGCATGGGTTCGGGAGAGATGTACGCGAAGAAGTCTATGTGATGGCGCTTGGTAAGAGCAGTGGGGACATGACCATCCTTCTTCGTGCATTCCCGATTCCAGAGCGCCTGTGGTGGATGGGTTGTCCTGCAGGGCAGAGCTTGTCGAGGGAGCCGTGGGGGCTTCCAATAGCGGCTGAAGGGGGGAGTCGAGCTTCTGAAGAGCTTCATCTATGCGTGTTTGCCACAAGCGGTTGAGAAGATGGGCTTCCTCAGGAGGGATGGCGGCCCAGCGGGCTGCTCGGCGGTGAGAGCCTGACGCAGCGCATCTAACACCAGGGGAACCCGGAGGCGATGATGTAAAGCAATTGTGGATTCGCCTGTCAGATGTGCCTGGGACTTGGCTACAGCACGCAGCTGTTTTGTTAAGGCTCTCTGAATTTGTACCAGGTGTTGCTGTTGCAGCGGAAGGCTGTCTAGCGCATAGAGAGCGGTGGGAGGAATGCATGCCTGCCAGAGACGAAGTCTCAAGGGGAGAGCAGGTGCCGAGGCTGAGGTAAGGGCAGGTCGAAGTCGGGTCCAGGTCGCCCATGTTTGGCGCAATCTGTACGCCACCGTAAGCTGCGTACAGTCCTCCTGGTAGGAGATAATGGCTCCCAGATACTTGTGAGTAGTCACTATTGGCATCTTGAAGGTGCCTGCCGTGGGTGTCGAGATTCGCAGGCGCGTGCCCTCCTTGTCAGAGAGAATTTCTCTACGTCGCCAGCGGCTGGCATAGGAGTGATTGACAGAGAGGAGAATCACGGATTTGTCAATATTGACTTTCATGCGTGCATCAATGAGCAGTTGTAAAACGTGGCCGAGCCTGTCGATGGACAGAAGCAGATCTCGGGTGGAGTAGACAACCTGTCCAATGTGAAAGTCATCGGCAAAGGCCGTGAGGGCACGACGGACCCACTCAGATGAAGTCGCGCGGGCCAATCGGTGCATGAGCAGACCTGTAGCCAGACTCCACAGTAGTGGAGCCACTTTACAGCCCTGTTTGACTCCTCGCAAGGCTTGGACGGTGGCCTGCTCAGAACCAAAGGTCAGGTGATAGCCCAGACCTCTGTAGAACTCAAGTAATTGTACCCTCAGCTCAATAGGAACTTGGGCCTCAAGCAATGCTTCGTGTATAAGACTCCAGCTGAGCCGGTCAAACGCTTGAGAAAGGTCCAGTGATGCCTGGACCCCTCCGGTCCGTTTCCGCTTGGAGGCAGAGGAATGGGATGAGGGTGTGTCAGCCTGGGCCAGCTTGTCTCTGGCACGGTGGATATTGTAGGCAGGCTTAAGATTGGCCGCGGACACTTCGTGACAGTGGCTGAACACGCGATGCAGCGCCTCCCCTGTGCTGCGTCCTGCCATATAGGCAAGCTGGGGCCATGGGCCAACGAAGGCTTGAAGGTAGGGCTTGAGAGCATCTTGTAAGTGTCCGGCCAGAACACGGCTCGTGCTTTCTGTGAGCCCGATAGGGCGTAGTTGTCGTGGGAGTACTGGATGACTGACCTTGGGCATTAAGGCCAGCCAGCAGTCTGACCAAACAGCCGGGAAGGAGGAGAGAGACCCGACCTTGTCACTGAGCCAGGGCGCAAGAAGATCAGCACAGGCAACAATCGCCGCCGTGGGTGCCTGATGCGCTGGGGTGGCTTTGTGTATCGGGAGCCGTATAAGTCGATGGTGGGCCTCAGAGGAGGAAATGGTGGGAGCTTGAAGTGGCGGTAGAGGTGGTAGTGCCGGTTCGTCCTCCGGCGCATACAGATCCTGAAAGAAGGTTTTGAGGCAGTCCACCTGTTGCGTAGGGGACCAAAGCTCACCGTTGGGACCTCGGAGCTGGAGTTTGCGACTGGTTGCTTGGGCAGGAGGGCGCCAGCCAGACGAAAGAGCGCTCTAACGTCCCCGGCAGCAGATGCTCGCTCCATACCAAGAATTTGATCATGAAACCAGGCCCTTTTAGCTTCGCGAGTCCTCTGACGGAACTGCTTATGTGCGCGACGAAAGGCGGAGTAGGCACGCCAGAGAGCAAAGACGTTTCGACGTCCTGTCGTCGGTCCATGCCGCCAGCAGTGATAGGCTTGCCACATACCTTTAACACTGAGTTCAACAGTGGGGGATTGCCAGGGGACGACGCGTCCCTGGTTACGGACAGCTGGGAACACCGCCGTCGCTTGTTGAAGAACGTGAGAGTTAACCTCTTCGACAGTGGCCTCGGGGGAATCGGAGAGCAGGGCCTCGACAGAGGCACGAAGGTGCCGAATTCCTGGATGACTCGGGTCGCGACAGGCGTTGCGTAGGCCTTGGAGATCAAGGAGCCTGCACCGGTCGATGGCGTCCCCCTTGTCTCCAAGTCGCCAGAGGCCAGTTGCAGGGGCTGCCGCCGCGGGCAGGCATATCGGCGGTGGCCTTGCGCACAAAGACATGATCGATCTGAGATGCTCCCTGAGGGGAAAGAAAGGTGGGGCCGGCTCTGCGAGTCCAACTGTTAAGATGAAGCAGCTGAAAATCTACGAGCAGTGCCTCCAAGGCAGCCAGGTCTGGGACCATCGGTGTGCGAAATGCTCTGGCCTTGCTTCCCACCAGTTCGGAGATGAGCGGAGCAGGCGAGTTGAAGTCACCAGACAAAATTAAATGGTGACGGATTGGAATCTCTTTATAAGGAGACCACGAAGAGATGTCCAGACGCCCATGCGCTGATCGGCCGCGGTTTGAGTCTGACCTTTCTCGATTCTCGTGCTGCCAGAATGATAAACCTTCTGGTAGGTGTTAATTGCATCCACCGTGCGGTCTCCCAGATCGATGCGTACGTGGAGCAGCCTGCCTGCGACGCGAGAGGAGGATGAGATCTGATTTGCCGAACAGAGTTGAGCGCTGACTAGGGTGAGGAGACCCCCTGCCTTAGGGGAGGAGCAGGCCGACGATATGATGTGCCAGCCTGGTGTGCTGTATTCCTGATCGTGCGACCAATGCGTTTCCTGGATGTGCACTATCATTGGGCACTGCTCTGGAGGCAGCTGGGCTAGCCACTGCATCAACTCCTGGTAGGATTCACCCGTCAGCCCACCCGCATTGTAAGAGACATGCAGAAGCCTGGCGGCAGAGGCAGGGGCGGCAGCATGCAGCTGGGGACGACGGTCCATCCGAGGCTGCGGCGAGAGGACGGGTGCTCGACCATCGGCCACGATAGAAGGTTCCCTGCAAGGGGCTCGCTTGTGCTCGTCTGACTGCCCGGTTGTATGCACGCTTGATGCCTGTGGCATGTGCATCGCTGGGGGCCTGCAGAATGCTGCTAACTCCTAGAAGGAGCAGGCGCGAAGCGGGCCAGGAGAAGCGAGACCTGATGACGACTGGTTGTGTATGAGGGTGGCGGTCCCGCAGGACTGCACCACTTGCAAAATTCCCTGGCTTCCCTGCGCCCATACAGTAATCAGAGGCTGGAACTGTGGTCGATACATGTGCATCTGGTCCAGCAGGGATCGGGGCAGCAGGTTCAAGACGCGGCGGGGGACGTCTAACCCTCGGCTCTGAGAGACTTTGTTTACAGGTTAGCACCGGCGTGTGCAAAGAAGTGCGCTCAATGTGCTGTGGCCTGTGTGAGCAAGTCTCCCCTTCGGACTTGGGACCGAAGTAGGCTCTTTTGATGCCGAATGTATACATGTGTGTAAGTTTGAGTTGCCATACTAGAACGATGTCCGCCCGTTGTTCGGGCTGTGGTAGTGGCCTTGTTGCTGCGATGGCTGCATGTCTCTTGAGCAGACCTGTTACCCAACGTATAAGAGACCACAGAAGCACGCTAGTGGAATGCAGGTCAGTAGTCTGGAGTTCCGTCTGAGTCACGTACCAGCGAAAAAGCAGTCTTCTGACAGAGGCCCATCCTGCAGCAGTTCGCCTTTTGCGTCTGAGCTTTCGAGCGCGTCGGACACCCAACGAGGTCCTTGGTCGCTTCAGTCTGTGGCGAGGAAAGTATCCTGCAGCGTAGGATTTGGGGCCCGGCTGGGCTGAGGCAGTAAGTCTGCCGTGACCTGGGTGCATGGCCAGGTCCAGGAGGGATGGCACCCTTTCAAGTGCAGGTGGGCCAGACTGGGCAAGTGCAGTGCAGACCGTTTTCTCCATAGCCAATCAACTGAGCAGGCATTGTGCAGCGGGATGAAGGCTGCTTGCCTAGGCTCTACATCCTGATAGCCCACGCCGTTTGCAGCGGCCACAAGGGAGAGCAGCGAGCTGCTATCCGTGATGCACGGACCTAGGGTACATACTGGCAGACGCGTGTCGCATAATGTGGGACAACGGGGTTTGCGCCAGGACCTTATGTTGAGCCCTGGACAGGACCACTGTGGGCACCGGAACGGGTCCCTCCGACTGACTGAGCGAGCCAGGGGCATCATCATACCGGACTGGTCGTGGAGGCGGCGGACCACGCGGCTCATCGTTTTCACAGAGAGGTGGAACTGGGGGCGGTGGAAGGCCTCGAGCCGCAATTCTCGATCGATCTGGTCCGAGTCGGAGGCGCGGACCTCGTCGGGATCACTTGCAAACCAGGACGGCGTAGTGGGTATGTCCGAGGGAAGCTTTGAGCGGTCCGGTTGGGTCCTTGGAGCTCCTTCGATGGGCTTGTTGGTTGAGCTTGCAGGGCGCTTCGCCGGAGTCGTAGAGGTAGCTCTGGTTGCAGCGCGAGAGGCAGGCTTTGAGGTCCTGGAAGCAGCCTGTGTACGAGATGCCTGAGCACGGTGTCCGGAGAGACGGCCGGCTGGCCGCTTGCGAACAGGTGCCATGGCCCAGAGAAAGAGGCACCAGCGTGTGGCTGAGGAAGCATGGCCTGCTGGGGGCTCCACTGGTGTGTTTGACAGGATACTGGTAAGTGAGGGTAGCGCTGCAGACTGAGGGCCTCGCAAAAAGACCACTGTCCATGAGCAGCACCCAAGGACCTGGGCAGTGAGAACATCACTACTGCAAGGCGCATGAAGGAGCGCTCATATATGCCGGGCTGGTCGGAGTGCCAGGCTGAGTCATGCCCGTGTCTGTGAAACGGCGGGGCTCGTGGCCTTGGCTCCGCCCCGATCGACCAGAGGAGCTGTCATCATTAGAACTGGACGTAGAGCTGCGCTTCTCAGGCCGCACCCGTTTGGTGTCTGTCCGGGTGATCGGAGAAAAAGGGGATCGACTCGGGAGACCCTTTGAGGTAACCGTCGGAGGGTCTGCCTCTGCCTTGGCATGCGCTTCCGCCTCCGCCTCAAGTTGAGAGAGCTGACGCCGTCGCCATCGCCTCGTAGGTAGAGGCTGGCACGTACTGGGCGGATCCTGTGAGGCCACCGAGGCAGGCAGGAGCTTCACCATCTCTGGGACACTCTCCAGCATGGTCTCCGGAGGGGAGATTCCTTGGAAGGTGTGCGACAGGAGAGTGGAGGCTGCTGGGTCCGCACGCAGTATGTTCTCCGGCGACGGGGGTGGCAACCCATCTCCGGGTTCCAGCGCCTCCACGGTGTCGCTCTCAGAATCCGAGTGCCCTGGTAGTGCGTCTTCGGACTCAGGCCACCGGACTCGGCTGAGGGCCTTGGCAAGACTTCCATCTTCGACCGCTCGCATCATCACATTGGCCAGGAGCTGACGCCGTTTCTCGGGACCCGAAGTCGGAGGTGTACACTGAGAGCTCGAGGAAGCCGGAGGCACCAGGGAGGAGGCCGTGCTGATCACCTCCGGCAGTTTTTCTTGCCCGCCTGGACCCGGTAGAAGCACCACCACTTCCTCTTCATCCGTATCGCTGTCCGAGTGGATCTGGACTGTCGGGCGTGCAGTGCGGTCCGAGTCTTCACGACCATCAACCTGCGTCGGTGCCAAAGCTGGTGGTGGCCTGACATATCGCGATGGCGGTGGCGGCGATACCACCCAGCGATATAGACGGTAGAGGCGCTCCTGAACAATCTCAGAGAAGAATGTGGGAGGCGTAGGGATCACCTGCGGGGAGGTACAGATGTGCACGGCAAGGCCCGGGATAAGCATGACCTTGCATGTGGTCTGGCCAGCGAGCGGGGCCGTGGTAGTGCTCAGCGGAGTGCCAGGGATGTCATCTGGCAGGATAACTCCCGGAGTTCCAGCCAAATACGGCGGGTGAGCCTCGAAGAGGCGGATGAAGCGCCGTGGCGCGAGCACCAAGACCTTGAAGGTCGTTCCCGAGGAGCTCGAGCCGCTGGGAGCTGGGCCAGGGCCTGCTTTGGCAGCGGCCACACTCTCCTCAGGGCGAGGGGTCTCCCTTGTGCGACGGCCCTTGTGCTGCTTGCCCCTCTGAAGGCGATTCGCCTTGCCCATGAGAGATCCAGGCCGAGTCAGCCCCAACTGATCCGGGGGCTTCTGCTGACATGAACCAACATAGCAGCGAGGTGATTGCTCAGCAATGTGCAAGTGCTTGTGCCCATGCAATGCGGCGACAAGGCAGAGCCATGTAAGCTGGGCAGGCGGAGGCGATTGAGGCCGTGGCTCGAGGTGAGCAGGATGATCAAGCCCACAGGCGAGGACTCCTCCAGCCTGGGCGCAGTCAGGCAAGTGCATGGAGAGACGGGGTGCAAGACGAGCTGTGAGAGCCCGACTTGAGAAGCCAGCAGGACCCAGCCTAGTCGAGTAGATGCAGATCAAGGAGGTGGGATTGCAGGCTGGCGTGTGCCCGAGGAGCAAGGTATGTAAGCTGAGCAAGAAGGGCTGCATGCTCAGCTTCCGTGAGTTCTCGCCTGGCTTCAAGGTATAGGACGTGGGCCTCGAGAGATGGCAAAAACTGCTCATAGTGCAATGCCTGAGTAAGAGCATAGCTGCGGTAGGTGTTAAACCTGGCGCTTTTACGGTACCTCGAGACGGAGAGCGCCTCACACAGGAGGCGCGTACACAGAGGCAGTGCACTCCATGCTGCCTCAGCCACTGTCCTAGGACTGGGGCTGATGGGACAGGGCAAGCAGTCGGTGTCGTCGGGCACCCTGTGTGCCTGAAGTTTATTCCTGGGCTGCCACGTTCTATCCTGCGGCTGTGGCTGCAAGCATAAGTTCGAGAGGTGTCACGAGTGGGTTTTTTCGAACTCGAATCTTTGAGAGTTTGAACGTAGTACATGTTGGACGGGATTCGAGAGTTTGAAAGTTTGAAAAGTTTGGAGAATGAAGAGTTTGAAGTTTGAAAGTTTGAGAGTTTCGAGTTCGAAAGCTGGCGCGAGTTTGGAGCTTGAAAATTTGAAACCCAGGAAATTTGAAAGTTTGAAGCTTCGAAGATCGAAACTTCGAAAGTTTGAAAAGGAGAAGGACCGCTGGAGACGCGTAGGGGTTCACAGAGCAGCCCTCAGGCTCGAGTTCGAAAGTTTGAGAGCTTGGAGTTTGAAAGTTTGAAACCCAGGAAGTTTGAAAGTTCGAAAGCTTCGAAGACTGAAACTTCGAAAATTTCAAACTTTGGGGGGTTGAAGGTTTGAAGTTTTCAAATTTCGAAAGTTTGAAAGTTTGAGAGCCGTGGAGTTCGAAAGTTTGAGATGTTCCAAGTTTGAGAGTTTGGGAGCTTGAAGGTTTGTAAGTTTGAAGAGTTTGAAGTTTGAATACATTGAAAGTTTGAGTTTGAAACCATGTTGACGTCCTCATTTTAGGGTCTGGGCCCGGTAACTCCGAGTCCGATTCAATAGCCCGGGACCCCCCCGGGCGAACGGGTAGTCCTGGATTTAGGAAGAGGATGAGGGGGGGGTGGGCCTGCAGTCCTGGATTTAGGAAGACTATGAAGGGGGGGGTTGTTGTTCTGGATTTAGGAAGACCATGGGGGGGCGGGGGGGGGGGGGCGGCTTGGAGTCTTCGGGGAACCCCACCGCTCTGTTTCGACTGCAAACGCCCCGCTCTGCTAAGCCGCGAAAAAAATTAATGAAAGCGTCTCCCACTTCATACTTCACCAAAAACCAGGATTACGACCCCCCCCAACCTCATACTTCGTCCAAATCCAAGACTTCGAGCCTCCCCCTTCCCCTTACAGTCTTCCTACAACCAAGATGTTAAGCCCCCCTTTCTCCAACACACGCAAAGGAGAAAGCAACACGAGAACGCTTCAGGGGGTTAAACGCGAAGAATTTAAATTCATCATGAGTGATTCAGAAGCTGTGCAAATGGGGGTGCTCTCTTAAGATCCCCCTCCCCTGATAATTGCGTCGTCCAAATCTAAGACGTCGAGGCGTCCCCTTACAGTCTCCCTGAATCCATGACTTTAAGCCCCACCTTTCTCCAGCACACACAAAGGAGAAAGCAACACAAAAATGCTTCAG